CGTCCATCCATGTCAACTATGAGAATAGGTATGAGGTCAGTTTGCCTTGGCGAGACGGTATGTCTCGGCCTAGTTCTAATTTTAATGTGGCAAAAAAGAGATTGTTGTCGACTACAGCACGCCTTCAGTCATTAGGGAAGTTAAAGGACTACGATGAGGTTTTCTCTGAATGGATAAATTTAGGAATTATAGAAGTAGCGCCATGTCAAGATTTTGCATTGGGACATTTTTTACCCCACCACGCAGTTATTAAGGAGGCGAGTCTAACTACGAAGCTGAGGCCTGTTTTTGATGCTTCTGCTAAGGACAGTAACGGCATATCTATATATAGCTGTTTAGAAAAGGGTGTTAACCTCATCGAGTTGATTCCTAATTTATTAATTTATTTTAGAAAGGAAGCCATTGACGTCACTGCTGACATAGCCAAAGCATTCCTTCAAATTTCGCTCGTCTCAGAAGACCGAGACTATTTAAAATTCCTTTGGTGGTCGGATATAAATGACCATAACAAGTCTGCCATAGTGTATCGTCACAAACACGTAGTTTTCGGCGTTAAGTCAAGTCCGTTCCATCTTGCGGCTACAATTAACTATCATTTGGATCACGCACTTCTCAACTACAAAGAAACCGCGGAAAAATTAAAGAGCGCTTTCTATGTGGACAACTGGGTGACAAGCGTAGTTTCGGTAGACGCACTGAACACATTCATACAAGAATCTCAAGAGGTTATGTCAAGCGGTATGTTCGACTTACGCGGTTGGGTTTCTGGCCCGGTGAAATTAGATGATACCACAACAACCTCAGTTTTAGGAATTATGTGGAACGTAGATAAAGACGAGTTAAATTGTAATGTGAGTTCTTTGGGCGGACTTAGTGAACGAGTCACTAAACGAACTTTGCTTTCTATAGTTCATAAAATTTTCCATCCTATAGGAATTTGCTGTCCATCAACTATCATCCCAAAAATTATATTACAAAAATCGTGGGCATGTAAGGTTTCATGGGATGAAGAGCTGCCATCGTGTTTATTGGACGAATTTAAAATTGGACGAAGCAGCTACATTTAATTAGTGAAATTAATATACCGAGGCGGTTAACACGTCATGATATTTCACATTGTGACAATTCGTTACATATATTTTGTGACGCCAGTCAAATCGCTTCTGCTACTTGTGCTTTTCTTCGATCTGAATTTAAAGGCGAAGTTTGTGTTCGTATGGTAATGGCAAAAGCGAGGGTAAACCCCGGCCAAAAGGATCACAATACCTCGCCTAGAGTTAATTGCTGCTACTCTGGCAGTTAGATTGGGATGCAACACAACTGGGCTTGAATTCGAGTAGTTGTCCGATATATTACTGGACAGATTCAAGTGTAGTTCTGTGCTGGGTGAAAGGAGAAGGTGACTGGAGTGTTTTCGTCGCTAATAGAGTGCGAGAAATCAGAACATACTCCAGTTCAGAAGCTTGGCGGCATGTTCCAGGGAGCCTCAACCCAGCAGACTTACCTTCTAGAGGTATAGGTATCAAACAATTCCTAGAATCTAAATGGTGGGATGGCCCGTCCTGGTTATATTTAGGGCGTGATAGTTGGCCTTCCACTGATTTCACAGCAGACACAAACCAATTAGATCAAGAAAGACGGAAATCAGCTGTAAAATCATTATTGGTAGAAGACACGTGTTTCTTAGATCATTTAACCTACTTTTCATCTTATGTAAAGCTAATAAGAATGGTAGGATCGATGTTAAGATTTAGGTATAAGTCTTCAACCAAACTTCCATATAATAAATTTATCATTTTTAGAAATTGATCGTGCAGAAAAGGTTGTTTTTCGCTTAATTCAATATAAGCATAAAAATCTCTTTAACAAATTACAAACTTTTATTGACAAAGATGGTATTCGACGTCTAGTGACGAGATTGGAAGACACAAGCGACAATTACGATTTCAAGTGTCCGATAGTGTTAGCAGCTCGTGACGCGATAGTACAACGTCTTGTTAAACAACGACATGAGATATTGCATCACGCTGGGACACAAACCCTTATTGTTAATTAACGGGAGACATATTGGATAATTGGCGTGCGAAGACTGGTGAAGAAAGTTGTAAGGGCGTGTATTATTTGCAAACGCTTTAAAGCAAAACCACAACAAGTTCCACCATCTAATATTCCTACGAATCGCACAGATGCAAGCGCACCTTTTGAAATAACTGGTGTAGATCTAGCAGGGCCTTTGGTTTTCAAAACGCGGTGTAAATGTTGGATAGCCTTGTTCACATGTGCCACGTATCGTGCTGTACATTTAGAAGTCAAATCGCTATCGAGCGAAGACTTCATTCGAGCTCTAAGGCGATTCATTGCACGACGCGGTAGAGTACGTTGCATCTACAGCGACAATGGCACCAATTTTGTTGGGGTTAACAATTTGCTAAATTCTCTCGATTGGAACAAAGTTGCCAGCTTTTCAACAATGCGCAAAATCAAATGGATTTTCTCACCTCTCAGTGCTCCTTGGTGGGGAGGGTTCTATGAAAGAATGGTAGGCATGGTAGAAGCCATTTTTGTAAAAATTTTGGGTCGTGCATCGGTGTCGTTGATGGAACTACAAACGGTGTTGTGCGATTGCGAAGCAACGATCAATAATAGACCGTTGACATACGTAAGTTTTGTTGAGATACAGATGACGTACGACCGCTCACCCCTCAAGTATTAGGTTAAAGATTTCGATGCGATCGACCATAAGGCATTGAATATTAGAGCGAGATATTGCCAAGACCTACGAAATCATTTTCGACAGCGTTTTCGCTCCGAATACATCTCCTCTCTAATACAGAAAAATGTTGTAAGCAGCAGGTATTCGTTGCATAAGGGTGATATTGTTTTGATAGGCTCCGAGTGCAAGCGTCTCATGTGGCCTTTGGGGGACGTACACGGGCCGCGACGGGCATGAACGAGTGGCAAAAGTCGGTGTCGCAAATGGATTTAAGGTGAGATCTTTCCAACGTCTCTACCCACTTGAGCTCCATCAATCCACAAACAATCTAGAGAGACATTTGCTGAATCCAGAATCAGACTCGATGACTGACCAAAATACGTACTCGACGACTGACTCGAATAATGACTCGACGGTTGGACCAAAAACTAAACGACTACTGACTACTCCCAGCGGTCGTATTTGTCGGCCTCCTGAGAAACTTACCTTTTAAATGTAAATAATAGGTAACTACATCTAAGTAGTAGATCACCATGTAATTTTTAACCTTTGTTATTTTAATAGATTTTATTTGGATTTAATTAACCTTCCGGTTTTGTTGCCTGCGGAGTGTCATAGATTCCATGGACTAACCTTTTTATATCCTAGGTAACAAATAAATTAGTTGCAAACTAATGGCCGTTGCGTTTCTGTTCGATATACCATAAATTTTACCTGTTTTCATCTATAATACACGTACAATCCGTAATAATCGTAATGATACGGCTCCTCCACCCGTTGTACAAAAACGTAATAGAGGTCGTCCTCGTAAGCATGTTTGCCCAGTATGTTCTTTTAATTGTAAATGTTAGTTTTATTATTTTGTTTAAGCATTATTTTTGTATTGTCTTTTGCGAGTTAACGAGGGCGCTGTCATTAACTCGAGGGGGAGTGTGTGGCGTGTATGTGCCTCCCTTCGGCACAAAGGAAAGATATTGACCGTTGAAGGGACGCGCGGGGGGACCTTTCGGGTAGCGCCACATGCGCCCACGCAGGCGCGATGCGAGTCAGTCATTGGCCGGGACTCGTTAACTTAACGTAAAGCCACGCGCGGTGCCTTGATTCTTTGCCGCGCTCGTGTGTTCCGTTAAGTTTGAATAAAGTGTAATTATATATAAACGCGTATTACGTTTCACTGAACCACACTCCATCCGGATGGTTACATTCTCTGTTATGGACAGAAACACTCGAAGGACCAATTTCTTCTCTGTTATGGACAGAGAGAAAGACTTTGTTGTTGTAATAATTATTATTTATTGTGCTCAATTACAATCAAACGCGGCGCCATTGGCAACCGTAGAAACGAGAGAGAACCCCAAACGGAAACGGATACATTAGTTGTTACCACAGGACTAACAGATACTACAATCATAGATTATAATAATGTTGTGTTAGTCTATAACAGCTAAAATACTCATTCTCGGTACAGAGATGCATTTTTAATGATTATTTTAATAGTTCATGGATCTCAGTAACTTTTAGCGGGCTCATTAGTCAAAGCTATCTTATTTTTGCATCAGTCAGACAGCTCATAGAGTTAGGTTACCTCTGGCTAAAATCGGAAGTATAACATTGGGGTTTTTAACAGACTTGAGGCATATGACCACAATTTTAATTTTGATGCAGTTATTTCTGATCAAAATGAAGACACCCAGATGCAGTTACCTGCCCCAGACACAAACCACGATGTAAACAGCAGCTCTGTTCTACCCCCCCTTTTCAAAGCAGCATATAAAAATATATTTAGGTCGGTAAGCATGCAGTTTACTCACAACAACCAGGAATTACACAACGCGGCATTTATAATTTGTTTAATAAAAAGCTTAAAAATGAATATAAGTTAAAAGGTATGTATTTGATAGAAGTTTTGGGTCAAGCGATTACAGCGCCCCTAGTGGATAAATTTTGCAGATTTCGAGTCCATTAAGCATCAGCATAATTCGGCATTGTACGCCACTGAGTCGCATTATGCTCTGTAATTGGAAAACAAACTTATTGTAGTGTTGACTACCTCACAGCCAGCCTCGGAACAGCCAACTCGATACATTTCGTGGCAAACACTCCAAGTAACATTAGAATGTGAAATAAAAGAAGATTAAAATATCTTAAGACTTGGCTGTATGGGCATTGTTCCCTTTGCCTTCCTTGAAAATGGAGAATCTTAAATTAAAAAAAACTATTTTCAATGTATTCTATTTGAAACCGATTACACGAGCAAAATATCGATTGAAAAAAGGAAAATCGGGTTCTTTACGAGTGATTTTCGATAAAACCGTATCGAGATTGGAATCCCTACTCTGACTTTGTGACTTTTTTTGGGGTTAGGTAGTATAGTGTCAACTCGTAGCTCGTAGTCGAAACTTCAGAAAACTGTAAAAATGATTGCGAAAACCCTTTTGCAATCACAAATCTTGGGTGCATTCCTCTTCTTCAATCCTATATTGGCAGAATGGAACACTCGTGATTATGTACGAAGGGAGCATTCTCTTACAAAACCCTACCAAGGTTAATGACCTGTGATGTGACTTGATTGAAACTGATTTTGAATTCAATTACTCGAATATTACTAAGTGTCTCAATTTTTTAGGTAGCGGGATGTCGGTGCCTTATTGGGACTTCTTAGGTAGCACAATTGTTACTTCGAATTACGTGCGACTTACACCAGACTTACAATCCAAGTCTGGTGCTATCTGGAACACAGTAGTAAGTCATACAAGTTACATATGTTCTAATTACCTTAATAGAAGTTCTTGTTAAGAGTTGTTATCTCCTAGAATATAAAAGCCGAATTTGGCGCTTAAAAAGGCTGGATATTATCCCCCTAAACAAAGTTTAAGCTTCGATTAGTTACTCATATGTTTTGCCTCTGTTCATGGAATTACAAATTTAATAATATAATGATAATCAAAGGCCTTGTTATATTCTACTACCAAATTCAGGGAGCAACCATATTCTTGGCATTTTCCTATAAAATTGTTTCCTCCGCTTTTATTAATGTGGTAGTTAATAGCTTCCATTATTTTTCTAGCTCTGTCTTTTTTATATTGTTACTTTCTGAAACTGCTTTGACACTTTTATTGCCCTTCAAGATGTCATGACTGTATTAGTTTTTTTATGGTTGCACATAATATTTAGGTTTTTCTGTGGTTTAAATACTGTTAATGTTTTCTTTTTAAATTTCTTGAATTGTGTTTGTAGTTGTGGTTGCTCCATAATAAGGTGACGTAAGTTGGGCTGCCAGCTCATAATATCTCCGTTGTCTAAAATCCTTTATGTATTTGCTTTGCTTTGTGCCATGTATTTTCTGACCATGTTACATCAAATTTTAACTGTGTGCCAGTTGCTCAAAATTATATCTATTTCATTGTCCAAATAAAATATTTTTTTAACATTCATACATACATACATCCATATAAATAACCATAAATTAGTATAAATAAAACATAAATAGTCCATTCTTTCTCATTGTATTGACAACCTCCTTGGCCGAGTGGTTTGTATGCCGGGTTTCATGGTGTCACCAACTTCAGAGGTCGGGGGTTAGAATCCCGGTGGGGGCAGATGTTTGTGTGATGAATCCGAGCATTTGTACTCCAGTCATGGATGTTTAATATGTATTTCTATATATATATTCTATCCGTTACCCTAGTATCCCATAACGCAAGCCTTATAGTGCTAAGCTTTGGGCTAGGCTAATTGGTGTGAGTGTGGGAAATATTTTTTATTATTTATTTATTACATCCTATATCAATGCATTGTATTAGACAAGAATATACTACAGTATGAATATATTCTTCTGCTACATCTCAACTCATCAAATACTATCATTTTTCATTTGTTAATCCAAGAAAAAAACATAAATATAATAGCAATCAAGTGTAGTAGAAAAAAAAATTAGTTTGTAAAAGTCATTTAATGTACAAACCATTATAAAGAGACCAAGTTCATGAATATGAATTGGGTTATATTATAACAACATTATTATCAGTTGGGTTTGTGTCACCTTAGTTAATTTGTTGATACAGCTTGCTACAAGAGATAAGCCATACTAACAAGAAGTTAAAATGAGGATTAACATTAAAATCATGAATATTTTTTATCACTGCACGTTTAATTGTTGTGTCTCATATTGAAGTCATTTTTCAATTTGACGACTCTGTATATAATACAGGGAGTAAAAAACAACCCTTGCTGAGTGTCTTGCTGGTTCTTCTCAGTACAATGTCTCCCGCCGTAGATTTAAGAAGCGCAATAGCATAGCTTTTCGACATTCACAAGTGCTTGTAACAGCCTAGACTGAATAAACGATGTTGAATTTTGAATTGCTTTATTTGGATCTGCTAATTCCTTAATTTATATGAATAATCTCTTAATACATTACTTTACCAACTTTTGTAGTAATATGTTCGTACATGTATTTTATATTTCTAGCTATTTGTTCTTCATTGTAGTTTTTATTTAGGAACTTTTCTGAACTGCATTAAATAATACAATATTGCTTATGAAAATGGGCTTTGACCTTTTACCTGTAAACATAAATAGAAGGCGAGGGAATCGCGATTATAATAATTATGCTTAGCTAATTATGTTTGTATTTAATATAAGTTGTATAAACTTATGAATCAGTTGTTCTGGAAATTTTATGGTTAGTCAATCTAGTGAAGTCGTGGAAAATTGATAAGAAGTGGAAGTAAGTAGTTGATTTTGAAAGGAGCTACTAACTAATTAAATATGGTTGTCTATTATGTTAAACATATTTGAATATTCTTCTGCAAGAAAGAAAAACGTATAACAACAAATTACATTTGACAAAAATTACTAAATCATAAATACTACCTATTATAGATAAAAATAAAATATCAGCCACCCCTTAACCAAAACTTACAAATTAGATGATTCAGGAATTTCATTTGTTTTTTAACAATAATGTACCATTTTACGATGTGTAGAATGAAACATATATTATATTAATTTTAGTATATTAAACCCACAGATCTCAGAATTGATCACACTATATGCCTAACCATTACAATATCCATCACAATATTAAACATTGATTTTAATAATAATATGACAATCCACATTGTTCCATATCATTAGTAAAAGGTTATCATTAAAATCCAAATTAATATAAAGAAAGAAGGAGTATTATGGTGCAAATAAAAAGTATAACTATTAAAACAGAATATATTTTTCTTGGCCATAACGCTTAACAAAAAAAGAAGTTGTCAGATTTAAAAGCTCTGATTATGAAGCATAAATGTGTTTTTCTATTGGTTTGGTTTATGAGATAGGTAACTTGCGTTTTGCAAGTCATTTCAAACATCATCAAGGACATGTTTGAGATGAATAGAATTGAAATAAAAATCTGTCTTATACCCTTGATAATAAACATCAAAATTTAGATTTTATATAAAAACAATACTTAACGCTCCACTGACTACTTAAATTAAATGTAATAATAGAAATTTTTATTTGATGAAAAAAGTAGAGGACATTTTGATCCGTAGAGAATAATTTACTTAACTAGGTATAGTATAGGTACTTAGGTTTTGTAAGGCACAATAATAATGTTCTCTCAACTGATTGTAGATTTGTAGTTTTTTTCTATACTATAATTATTTAGTTGCTGGACTAAGTGGAGTAATTGTGTAAAAACCATTTTTTCCACCTAAAAACAATAAGTGTATATATAAACACGCAGTACATAGTTATTATAGACAGGCAAGGCAGGCTAAGTCATCTGAGATTTGCGGACGATATTGTTATCTTCTCTGAGACTCACAAAGAACTAGAAGTTATGCTAAACTCACTGAATGAACAGAGTTCCAAAGTAGGTTTAGAAATGAATACAGAAAAAACAAAAATCATGACTAACAGTCTGAAAAGACCCATTAGCTTAAGAAACAACAGCATTGAATATGTAGATAACTACATATAATTAGGAAAACAGGTTTCATTTTCCAAAAACAATACTGAAGAGGAAGTTACAAGAAGATCTAATATAACCTGGAAGAAGTACTGGTCTTTGAAGGTTTTTTTTAAAGGAAACTACAGCTCAGCATTAAATAAAATAGTTTATGATAATTGCCTTCTACTATGCCTGACATATGGCTCACAAACTTGGACTTACACAGACTAAAGCTGTTGACGCTCTAAGTCTAAATCTATGCACTCTAAACTGAAGTAGAAATGGGCTGGCCATGTTGTTCGTCTATCAAACGGAAAGTGGACCAAGAAAATTACGGAATGGAGAGGACCATACGGAAAAAAGAAAATTGGAAGACCAAATAAATGAATAAATGAGTGATGATATTATACAAACAGCAAATATTCACTGGACAAAATCTGCTCAAGATAGGAAAGAATGGGAAAAACTGGAGGAGGCATTCAACCAAAGAGGGATCCATGCATCTGAATAAAAACTAATAATACTAACTAAACAATCAAGAACTGCATCTAACAAACTAACAACTTTTTTTCAAAATGTAAATAACCTATAAGGATTAAATAAAATTCTTTATTAATATTATAGACAGAAGCTATTATTAATCATTTATATTGCAGATGGACTTATGTGACCCAAATGCTGTTAATTAGGAGTAGCCTCTCCAGTACACTTTGTATCGTTTTATGTTAACCGAAATTTGAAGTATTGTTGCGCGATTTAACTCTAACTCTTTAGAGAAGTATATAATATACTATGGAGTTGTTCAACAAGAACTTTGTTTTTGAATTGTGGCTACACCAACAATATGATAGTTTTCACATTTAGTTTTTTGACGTATTCGTAGAAGATGCATTGGCAATTGTTACAATGAATTCAATTTCGCTTGAAAATCGAATTAAAATAATTAAAATCCACTATGAAAATAGTGCTTCTGTTACAGTTACATTTTGTCAAATTCGTGATATTTTCGGACAACATAATCGTCCTTCTGAGACCGCTATTAAGAATTTGGTCGTTAAATTTGAGTCGACAGTACAAAATGTGCCAACACCAACGCGTGTTCGACCGTGTCGTTCAACTGAAAGCATTGCAGCCGTGAGCCACAATGTTGAGGCAGATCCAAATTGGTCAATTCTGCGATGTTCTCAACAATTGGGGTTATCCAGAACCACTAAATGGCGAATTTTGGCCTATTATTGATGACGTGGATATCACTGATATGTGGTTTCAACAGGACGGCGCCACATGTTACACAGCCAATGAAACGATCAATTTATTGCAAACCAAATTTCCCGATCGCATAATTTCACTAAACACAGCTGTTAAGTGGCCAGCCAGATCATGTGATTTAACACCACTAGATATTTTTTTGTGGGGTTATGTTAAGGACAGAGTGTATACGGGGACAATCGAATCGATTGCAGCCTTAAAACTTAAAATCCGTGATGAGATTAACGAAATAGTCCCGCCATTTTGCCAAACAGTGATTAAAAACTTTGATGAAAGAATCGACATCTGACAGCGTGCTCGTGGTGGACATTTGCAAGATATCATTTTTCATTCATAATTGCCGAACTTTTCTCTTTGTAATTCAATAAAAAAAATTATCATCTTCATCTATTTTTTTTGTTTTATCTTGTTTTAGAAAACAAAGTTCTTGTTGAAAAACCCTATATTAATAATGAATAGTATTAATCATATTAATGTTATTATTTACTAACATTAATACTATTCATTATAGCAACAGGCCAAGGTAACGTTTCTTTCAGCCATGCTACACTCGAAACTGGGAAGTGCAAGTGCAGTTCAAGGTCCATGGGCGAGGTAAAGACCTCTTTGGGGACGGCCTTGCTCTGTGGTACGTGAGGGACCGTATGCAGACAGGGCCAGTGTTCGGCAGCAAGGACTACTTTCACGGCCTGGCTATTATACTTGATACGTACAGCAACCACAATGGTGCACACAATGTGAGTATTTAATTGTCTTTTGTGTACCACGAATATGGAACAATGTCTTTTAGATTACATCAATATTGCACAAAGATGATTGGTAATTGCTTTATTTAAAAGATAAGGTAGCATCCAATTTGCCCGTGGATGTAAGATTAGCTAGAGCGACAAATATATCTGTTCAATTACTGAATCATACTTAAATAGATAAGGAAAGTATTTGTATCAGCACACGTTTACAAAAATGTACATCAGGTATGAAGGAGATATTTGGTAGATATTATCAATATATTATTAATACCTATGTGCTATCCCGCTCACGCATACCCTCCCCTCCTACAACCCGGGGTCCTTTTAAAGAGGCGTGAAAAACCAAAGTGCAGGCCGGCAAGGTAAGGATGGTTTGTGTGGCAGGTGGCACCTCTTTACCAGCTATCTTGTCTGGACTCCACCGTAACTTAACACCAGGTGGGGTGGAGTCATTTGAAGGACCTATTTATTAAAAAAAGAGAGTGTGAGTTTTTTGCATAATTAAAATTAATGAGAAAAAGAAGTGCGGAAAGCTAATGCATTAAAAAAGTATTAATTTAATAACACACATACTTTGACGGGAAACACAATGATTAAAGAATTAATATTACTTATACACTATAGTAAGCTCCGTAGAGATAGCTCGTTCCAGTGTTACCGTAGCGTACATAGTCGGAATTTGCTGTCAACGCGTACATTTAATACGCGTACAGCTCCTGTGCCGACCGCTACAAATTTCGGCGAAAGGGTGACCATTACAGTTTAGAAAAAGTTGTGCATAGGCGCAGTGCACATCAAGAGAGGCGGCACGAAACTAGCGCTGACCGTTATTGCGCAGAACTAAAAATTAAGATGCCTTGGGGGGAAACAGGTGCGTGGGCGGGCGTGTGTTGCGCGGATTGGCTTTCTGGTCGTACGGTCGTACCCATCCGCAGCTATCCCCACTGCGTTTTGTTCAGAGCCAGAGTTACGTGCCACGACCTGTACCTACGCGCGGTGAATCCGAGCGGGAACAAGAGCCACGAAGCGACGCGCGGCGACTTTATATTATACTTCATTTCATATAACATTAAAAAGATGTAAAAATGGGTTCTTTTATAGGTGCACATTTTCAACTGATTGTGAAAATAAATGTTTAATTACGCATTTATCAATTTATGCGTAAAACGTACATGCACAGACATCTAAACAATTACCTACGTAAATATAAACTATTTACCATTTATATTTTAATAAGAGTCGTTTGAGATCGAAAAGATTACTACGTGATTACTACAAATTACAAAATGGGCTCTGTTGAGAAACCCAAAGAATCAGAGGTTTGCAACCTGCATTGAACGTATAATGCGGCCAAACTTAGAGTAAGGATGTTCGATGTTGATACATTAGGTGAAATTATGACGTTTTGATTTTACTGGATGGATCATCGTGTCACTTGTCATCAAGTAAAGAAAAATAATAAAAATAATAATCAAAATAGTTGAAAATCTAGACTTTCTCTTTGTTTTGTTTGGTGATACACATATAATATTAATATATATTACATCATAATAAATTGTCTTGTGATACGTTTTAGTTGTTTTTTTGTTTTGAATTAAAAATGAGTGATGCGGGTGTGGGCCGTAGTGGCTCTCAAGCCATTCAACAGAATCCGCGGCGTAGTCGTGGTCCAAATCTTAATGAAACGCTTTTGCTATTATCTCCTAAAAAGAAAGGACCAAAAATATTATTCTTTATATTTACAAATATATGAAATAAATTTGGCCAAAGGGTTACCAATAAAAATAGAAGATGAATTTTGTCAGTTGGATAATGCCATAGATAATATGGTGGAGAAATTTGTGATTAATATAGGGCAATCGTCATCGTCATCGATGTCCTCATGTGGTGAAGAGAGTGATTAATTTAAAATTAATCTGTATATAAGTTTTTCTTGGACTTGATAAGAGTAGTTTATGTAGGAAATAATTATGTTTTTTTTATAATAGTTTAATTTGACCCAGTTCCAATGTTTGTAGAAAGTCATACAAATAGATAATAATAAATAAATAAAGTTTCACTCCAGAGTATCTGATAATAAAAAATCTAATTATCATATTTCATTATTATACATGATATGGAAAGGTTTTGAAACCAATTCTTTCAGCATTTTTTTCATGTTATCTGGAATGAAGTATACTGCCACGGAGCGGAGTAAACGCGCGCCGCGCCGGCTCTCATGGTCGCTTCACAGCGCTATGCGCCACATGCTATTCATCATGTATGTCCATGAAATTTTTAAAAATATAATACAGGAATTAGAGTTTACCTTAAAATTTTCACTTCTCGGTATCTTCGCCGCGCCTCTCCCGGTGTGCGTTGCGCTTTAGTGTATTTCCAAATAACTAACAACGACCATCTCTAATGTACAGCACCAGCATCCGTACATATCGGCTATGATAAACAACGGATCGATGCACTACGACCACGACCGGGACGGCACACACACGCAGCTGTCCGGCTGCGAGGCCAAGTTCCGGAACTACAATCACGACACGCATGTATCCATTGTGTATAAGGACGACACCCTAATAGGTAAGCGAGAATGCACTTTATCTATTGCTCAATTAAGCTTGTTCTTAGGAATGGTACGCAGAGTTAAAATTTATTGTAACTGTATATATCTATATCCTAAATGATGTAATGGAAGGTGACTTCAGAAGTATCTCTGAAGTAATTGTTCAACTTGACGACTCTGTATATATCAATACAGGGAGAAAAAAGCAGCCCTTGCTGAGTTTCTTGCCGGTTCTTCTCAGTACAAGGTCTCCCGCCGTAGTTTTGCGAACCGATGGCGTAGCTTCTGACCTTCACAAGTGCTTTGTAACAGCCTAGACTGAATAAATGACTTTTCATTTCATTTCGTTATGTAATTTTCACATTTTTCGATTCTATCGGTCGCGATTGCTGTGCTTATGTGGCCCAAACACGGATTTTTGACAGCTCCGTAACGTATACGTAAGTTATCTTCAAATATTCTATGAAAAAAGCTAGTTTGTTCCTACGTTCGATGGGCCGATAGCCATCTTCAAATTTTGAAAGGAAAAAGCTAGTTTATTCTAACTTCTGATCGGACGCTGCTTACGTAGCGATGCGATACGTTATGGAGTTCTATCAAAAAAAAAATTTTAGCTTGGGCTTCTGTTCTTAGTACTTGTGACATAGTTGTTTCTTTAAAATGTCTCAGGAGTGATCTTTGAAATAAACAATAAGGCATCGTCAATTCGAAAAAAAAATCTGCTTTTTACCCAACTTCAAAAAGGAGGAGGATCTTTCCAGTCTATTTGAAGAGTTAGAAATAACGCCGGGAAATATCACGTAGGTACTCGATTTCACTACTATAAAAACTGCGTTGCATAGCGGCCCCGTGCTTCGGAAGGCACGTTAAGCCATTGGTCTCGGTTGAATCTGCAGTCGTAGCACCTACCAATCCGCACTGGGCCCCCTTTCGGAATCTGTGGCCTGTGCCCCAGCAGTGGTGATAATGATGAAACGTTTTTGTTTCAGTGTCCACTGACCTAGAAGGAAAAAATGCTTGGAAGGAGTGTTTCAAGGTAGAAAATGTTCTCCTGCCCACTGGGTACTTCTTCGGTGCTTCGGCGACCACTGGGGATCTGAGCGACAACCACGATATCATCGCTATTAAGATGTATGAACTGGACTTGCTGGAATCGGTAAGTTAATAGTTAAAATAATATTATTAAACACATTGGATAGTCCAGATTTTTGTCCTGCAGCTTGTTTTCGCCTTCTGTATTAATAGCTGTGGAAAAGAAATATGTATAATGTTTCATAATTCTGCCGTACAATAAAAAAAAACTGCTTCTTACGGTCTAAATTAACTTAATCTTTCAAAAGATGCAAATAAAAACTAGTCGAGTACTATTTATAAGACTAGCGATCAGCCTCCGTTTTGTTCGGAAAAATGTATTTTAACTCGATAAAATCTGGCCTATGTCACTCAAGAATAACGCATCTAATGATGAAAGAATTTTTTAAATCGGTCCGGTACTTTTTGAGTTTATTCATTACATAATAAGTCTCTACTCTATAACATTAGTATAACTAATAAAATTTCCTTATGTTCAGCAAAACAAAGACGAGGATAGATCCCATATCATACCTTCAGCAGCATCATTCGAAGCACCCCGGGACCGAGTGGAAGACTCGAAACCAACCATGTCCGGTGTAAAAACCTTCCTATGGATGATGGCCGGAGCTATAGTGATCATAGTAATAGTCGTACTGGCCATCATGTGGTACCAGAAGAGACAAGAACAGTCCAGAAAGAGGCTGTATTGATCAGTGACAGATGACCAATAAGGTAATAGGTTTTTTCCAATTGAATTAGATTAAAAACGCTTTTGAACTGGCAACTGGATACTAAACTCTATAGTGGTATATTGATTGTTAAATTTATGTATGATTAATAGTTGACGCGTTCATCATCATCATCAGCCTATAAATGTAGGTACCAAGCGGGCCCAATGCGGATTGGTGCTGAATGAGCTCTACGAAGCACGGAGAAGCTCGAGAAAATTATTTTTTAGTCGCCCATCAATTCCTAATGTTTCTTAATTTTCACAATAACAGACCATATACTCGAGCTCGATGGCGCAGGTGGCTAGCGCGTTCGGCTGCGATGCGATAAGCAACTTTCGCAGTGGTCGGTCATTGGATGGATGACCAAAAATTTACTATCTCGAGCTCCTCCGTGCTTCGGAAGGCACGTTAAGCCGTTGGTCCCGGCTGCATTTGCAGTCGTTAGCACCCACCAATCCGCACTGGGCCCGCGTGGTGGGTGATGGCCCAATCTCCCTATTCCATCCATAGGGAAGGCCTGTGCCCCAGCAGTGGGGACATTAATAGGCTGATGATGATGATGATGAGACCATATACCCTTTTCAGTCGTATAGGAGAGGCGAAGTTGATATTTTTTTAAACAGTCATATATTTAACAATAGTAGCTTTTAATATATATTTTGTATGTAATAGACTTACACTGTCTAAAGACAATATCAAACAGACAATTTGATGGTTAGTTAAAAAAATCCAAAGTAATATTAGTGTCTTCTATATACATATACATTGTATTAAATTGTAATACTATTCTATCAAAATATCAAAACAAAACCGAAAAGAAGCTATAACTAACAAACCATGTATGTCAATATAAATATTTGAATATATGCTCATAGATAGTCCGTTTAAAAGCGTTTTTTCTAAATGATATAGTTTATGTGGAAGTATAATAATATTAATAAAAGAAAACATGAAATGGAACTACCTAGAGATAGTTTGTGGAATAGATTTTTGTATTTAATTATAGGTCTGGCATTATTTCTGTACTGCTGATTTTAACATGAGTTTGGATATTGCTTAAAAACATTTTTAATAATTCCAAGTGACAAAAACTAACGAATTAGGATTTTATTTACAAATAAAAATTCAATAATTTTAGAATAATCACAACTTCTGTTAGAGGCACATAAGAATGTAAAATCAGCACAGCAGAGAATAAATTACGCTAAAGCCTCTGGTTCGAATTTGGCGGCCCCGTCAGTGGCAGGATTTTGTACGTATAAAATCACAAGGACCTCGTAAGGAGCGGGGGCACTCTAGTCCAGCAGTGACCGCCCGAGCATCTGTATTGATAGTGTTGTTTTGAAATGTCCTTCGACGTAGAGCAGATTATTTCAGCGATTTTTCATTCGGACGTAATGGAGCAAATTATATCAGCTATTTTTGATAGGACACCGTTATGGAAAAAAAAAATAAAAAGATAAATATGTTTTGTTATATCAATAAAATATCTATTAGTGCGAAAATCTACAAAACTATATTTTCATAAAAAGACCTTGTCGCCGTTGTTTAGACGTTTCGTTCGTGAACAAAAATAAATATACTCGCTGATACAACACTACGCCACGCTAAAGGGCCGCACGATCTACTCGCTGTCCCCGTAACATGAGCACAACAATTTACATCATATAACGTTTTTATCGCGTCTAAATGTCAAACTCCATAGTAATTTGACAATTGAGCATGATGAAAACGAGCTGTATGTCATATCGCGGTGCTCATGCTATAGGAGCTGGTTTCGAGAGTGGGTCTGCGTTGGCCGCATTGACGCGCCCTGCTGCCCGCAAAATTCGAGCCAGAAGCCTTTTTTTGTCCGGTTCTCTAATGGTAAAAACCAATGTGTGTGAATGGTACTGATTTAAAGAGATATTTATAACAAATTGTATTACGTTTAAATCTTAAAAAAAAGGATGAATGTACAACATTGATGTCGATTCTGTCACGATTCTCTAAATCTAAACTTAAATTTGACAACAGTGTATCCTTGTCATTCTCTATACAGAAAGAAAAGGAGAGACTGATGTTAAATTTAGTTTTAAGTTTAGAGAATCACGCCAGAATCGATACCAGTGTCGTACAAAGGAATGACTGTAATGTTGTCATTCGAAAGTTTTGGTTCAACGGAAGGTGTCACGTTTGTGTTATATTTATTTTGGCTAGTCGCTCTTGTTATATCAATAGATGATTTCAACAAAGGGGTTTAGAAATGTGCATTTTTTTTCAATTTTAAAAACAACACTTACTTCTATGTTGAAACAATGTCGTAAACTTCATGTGTATCAAACATTATATTTTTTCTGTAATATAAACAATGTCATATGTATTTTAAATACAGTTAGCGTTCCCACGAATAGAAACTTGACCACTTAACTACAGTGCTAATATTGTAAAATATAATTCGTCCTAAATTAATTCATACAAAATTATGCTGTAATTATTTATCGCGATATAATTTGGCAATATACTTTCATTACAGACAACTATGTCGTAGCGTAGAGGTTAGACAATACTTTTTATTACCAAAAATTAATTTGAAGCAACATACAAAACTTATATTGTCTTGTGTCATCTAGCTTCTGACTAGGAAATAGAACACTCAAAGGCTTAAAAAACATCAGAACAAAATGAAAATACTTTTAAAAATACTAATAAAATCACCATAGTTTAAACTTCCATAAATACACATTAAGTTTATTAAGTATATATTATTAGCTGGTAACACCTGATTGCACTTTCTATATCAGCTTTGCCTAAATTTGAATGAAGTGACATTCCTTAAATTTATATTTATGTTGGACATTCGATTTTTCTTGCTGTTATTTCATACAAGACCTGGAACAGATTTTTATTTCAAGTTTTTTCCCAGCTAATTTACTTAAGTATGGCCTAGACTGCATTACGGATTTGTCCCAAGCGGGAAACCGCCAAACCGCGAAACCGCTCGAAGCGAGCACACTACGATTGAAAACCGCGAAACTATGTCTAGTTAACTTTAGATCATCACAGTTTGAGGATGGATTTCAAGAGAGCTGTATTTATTGTTGCTTTAATACTAAGAAACAGAAAAAGAAACCGTCGTCATTTTCACTAATATGGGGTCCATTCATTTCTAGAGCAAGGTTTTCTCTCAAAAACTTAGCTTTAAACAGTGACATCCAATTTGTAGGTGAACTTCCTCCTAAAATTTGTTTTGTCAATATACTGAGCCATAGTAGTGTCGTATAACGCTGTTCTTTTCTGTACTTATGATTCATTTCATAATCTAGCTCGTTTGAAACCGACTTCCGACCGACATGTCCAATGAATAATGATAGAAATCGCCCGCGTTTACCGCGTCAATGTGTGCGCGCCAATATATGGTCTATGGACTATGAATTTTGGTGCGGTTTTTACCCGGGAGCCGTTCTGTAACAAATAACGGTTTTAAAATCAGTCGCGGGAAAAACCGCAGGTGCGGCCGCTTGCATTAGTTCCCTTGACTCACAAAACTACGCGGTTAAAAACCGCGGCGGTTTAGCCGTAGTACGGCCTAGCATTATGTGTCATTTTGGCGTAAATATTGTAAACATAATTTTTTTGCCAATGAGGTGCAGATTATTAAACTTTGATTTTGGAGTTATTCAAAATGGTGGAATAATGGTACCACGTCCACGTGATATTTTCCTATTGTGTTATTCTTTTGCTTGTAAGACTGTTAAATACTTTTTCACTATGTAGGTATTTGTTTCTGATTTAAGTTATGAAGTAAGGTTGGCGAATCTTGATCAACCAGGCTAGTTGCAAAATCAAAGATCTTTTTATGTTAATGGAGCTGTATGCGGGCTCAATTAATAGATGTCGCTGCATTGCTATGTAATTTTAAGATTTGATTGGAAATCGCGCAATCGTTGCACGAACTTCTTTCTTCCATTTCAACACAGCGACATCTAATGATTATTCAGAAACATTAGCCTCCATTTATCTATTATATATTTATAGATTTTGATATTAAGATATGTATAAGACGCATTTGATATTTAATATGAAGCTACATTACGTAGATTGCTCTATAACTATACAAAGTCATCACAAAGAATGAAATGTCGATGTCTCAGACAAAATGCAAATATAATCATTTACCTACAGAATCTGGCTAAAAATACATTATGTTTTCGTATAACTCTTAGTAACGGTAAAAGATACCCCGATATCCGGCGCACAACAACTTCAATCAATTGTTCAGAAAGCAGCATGTTATGTTGCCGTAACATATCTAATGCGAACCCAACCAGTAAAACTGAAAATTGTTTTTTTTTTATCACTCAACAGTACCTAAATAATATATCCTTTTTTATATGTTCTGTTCATGGCTATGAAATTGCTTTACAAAGTCAATTCTTGCAGATTTTGGTTTCATTTATATGAATATTTCAATTTATGTGTTATTTGGTATTCATTCTTGCATAATAAGATTCCTTCTGTTGTAATTAAATATAATTGTATCATGGCTATTGTTAGGATTGCTAACTGGTAGATATCTCTGAACTACATAAAATTTAGCTACATTGGTTAAGTAAAAATCTGAGTTATTTATTCTACATAGATATTAGTTTCAGTCATCGTTATATTATACTTATGACTGGAATTAATATGTTCATAAATAATATCCATGGCGCATTATACAGTTGATTTATGTTGAAGTGTATAACGGTGTGTTTTTGATTTAAATAAATTTATATGGATACTGTAACGTGTTTTATTTATATGTGTGCGTATATACACACGCAGACAACAAAATGAGCAGAAAGAATTTATTTTATTACTTTGTTATATAATCATTTTTGGTACACCCTTAGAATACTCATTTACATATAAGGAATGATAAAATAATGGGGTGGTGCGGGCTCGTTTCATTTGCGTTTCTTTACCGAGAACCACTCTGACCGGCTCGGTTTCGGTGCGGCATCATTCGGAAGCAGTCTGTACAAAGAGCTGTACCCCTAGCACGAACCAATATCGAATTCGTATCGTTTGCGTGTCCGAAATGTCATTGTCAAATGTGCACTGATTTTTAATTCTCATTACGTACTTTGTGCCGCTGCTGTTCAAGTTTCCATACAAAATTTGACATTGACATTTCGGTTTGCAAACTATTCGAACTCGTTAATGGTTCGTGCTAGGGGTACTGTGTATTTACTCGGTATCGATTCGTTTGTTGTATTGGAGACCCCTTAAATATTTATTTTATTCTATTTTTAGTATTTGTTGTTATAGCTGCAACAGAAATACATCATCTGTGAAAATAATGACTGTTTAGCTATCCACGGTTCATGAGATACAGCCCGGTGACAGACAGACGGTTAGCAGAGTCTTAGCATTATGGTTCCGTTATTACCCTTTGGGAACGGAACCCTAAAAAAAGACATTATGCTGTCCTAGACTTTTTTAAGCTTTTGAACAATAATTCAATTCCGTCATACATGATTTTTGCGTAACATAACTTATTACGAACGTGAAATTAAATTGGTGTAATTTTGAGTTACAACCATCTGCACAACTGAATAATTAGTAGAAACTAAAATATACGCTATTCCGGTCAAGTGGACGTGAGAACTTTATTGTAGTGTTGACTACCTCACAGAAGCTTATCGAAAAAAAAACAACTTGATACATTTCGTGCCAAATACTTCAAGAAACATTAGGGTGCGGCCAGAGTGCACTCAGATTCAGATTCCGAAAACAAGCGCGAGAAATAAACAGTGTAGTCTAAGCTGGTTGCCTGCTTTTTCTCGCGTTTTGTTGTCCGAGTCTGAATCTGAATCAGGAGTGCACTCTGGCCGTAGGGTGCGGCCAGAGTGCACTCAGATTCAGATTCAGATCCTGAAAACAAGCGCGAGAAATAAACAGTGTAGTCGAAGGGTACGGCCAGAGTGCACTCCTGATTCAGATTCATATTCAGACTCAGAAAAGAAAAAACGAGAAAAAGCAGGCAACCTGCTTAGACTACACTGTTTATTTCTCGCGCTTGTTTTCAGAATCTGAATCTGAGTGCACTCTGGCCGCACCCGTACCCTTCGGGTGCGGCCAGAGTGCACTCAGATTCAGAGTCAGATTCAGATTCTGAAAACAAGCGCGAGAAATAAACAGTGTAGTCTAAGCAGGTTGCCTGCTTTTTCTCGCGCTTTGTTTTCTGAGTCTGAATCTGAATCTGAATCAGGAGTGCAATCTGGCCGTACCCTAGCTTCGACTACACTGTTTATTTCTCGCGCTTGTTTTCGAAATCTGAATCTGAGTCTGAATCTGAGTGCACTCTGGCCGCACCCTTCGACTACACTGTTTATTTCTCGCGCTTGTTTTCGGAATCTGAATCTGAGTGCACTCTGGCCGTACCCGTACCCTTAGAATGCGTCACACTGACATTCTAATGTAAATAAAAAAAGATTTTTAAGTATGTATACGACTGAAGGACTTGTATCCATGGTCATGAATAATTAAAAAAAATCAACTATAATTGAGTAGGGATGTCCGATATTTCATATTATATCGAGGTTTTGGATCGTAACCCCATAATCGATTCACGATCTGAATCGTATAGCATTGAATTGATCTTGGTGCGATTTTGGAATATTGTATCAAAAAATAATAATAAAAAGTCACAATACGTGTGCAAAATGATTTATTTAACGTACTTTAAATAAGGAAACCTATAGTGGCACTTTATGTCTGTTTGGAAAGGCTACGTAGTGCATGCAGCCATCGTTTTTTATTAGATGTTAACAATATGGGTTCTACTTATTGACATTTTGATTTCTCGTAAAATCGAAACATGAAGTCGCAGATATTTTCGATAAATTCTTTATGAATATACCATTAGAAACTACTTCCAACTTGGACTCATCGTCTGATACTGCTACAGCTCTGTTACAAAAATATGTATCTCCGTGTGGTTTATTGTTTAATTTCAAGCACGTTAGTTTTTTTTAAATAATTAAAGTTTTCCATTCATTAAAAATGAAAAATGCATCTGATTTATGGGGTATATCTGTCAAAGTCATAAATAATATTATACATTCTATAGCCCCTTACCTAGCTGATATTTTTATTTATTTATTTATTTATTTATTAATTAAGGACAGCCAACAAAACAAACACCAAATAAAAATACAACTGAGAAAGCAATAAAGAAAACAATTCTTAGTGCTGCCTTACTTAAAGGCTGCCACTGCATGCGTAAAAAATTTGCTTACGAAGTAGACTTACGAAACAAAAATGAAAGAATCTAGTACAAACACTTCAAAATTATAAAAGTAAATATTAGATACATATTAATATCCATTCTGACATCATTCTCCAGACCCAAAAACAGATCCAACACCAGTCCCTCACTTGCACTCTGTATTGAGAATGACAAGGATACACTGCCACCTAATCCAAGTCTAGGCCTAGAGAACGCTGCCAAAATCGACGCCGTCGTGGCGGTATGCTTAACAATAATATGATTGATCTATGTGGGTACAAAGGAGTCTAAAAGAGCAGACTTAAATTTGCGAAGAGAAGAAGACATGTCTATATCACTGTGTTTAGAAGAAGCGGCCAGCGTACGTGATAGTGTGTTATATTGTGACTGAAGTCTATTAATGGTACAAAAATGACCAAGGTTAGTTCTGGAAGCCCCTGCTCGGAAAGGTGCATAACGTGAAGGTCGAGCAGATTTATATGGGATATTAAAGTTAATCTGCGCTAACAAGTGTGAGCAATCTAAGTGACCGTTTAGTAATTTGAAAAAGAAAATGTGATCATGCATTTTACGTCGATTTTCGAGACCGTTAAGCTTAAAGTGAATCAAACGCGATCTGTATGTGGGTAGTTGTTTGGACAAGTAGTGTTTATAAGTTAAGTGCCCCAAGAACCTTTTTAATACGGATTCAATACGTTGTTTATGAACCTCGTAATACGGTGTCCAAATCACACTGCAGTATTCTAAGCCAGATCTAACCAAGGTGTTGAAAACTGCTATTTTGCTTGAGGCTTGTCTAAATTCCTTGCAATGTCGTAATACAAATCCTAAAAGCTTAAAGCTCTTTTTAGTAATTTTGTCTATATGTATATGAAAACGAAGTTTTTGATCCATGAATACACCCAAATCACGAATAACGTCCACTTCTCCGATAATATCATTATTTATTTTATAGGTATTAAAGTAAGGAGATTTTCGACGAGAGAAGTGTATAAAGCTACATTTTGAAACGTTGAGTTTCATGGAATTTACTTTGCACCAGGAAGAGAAACGGTTGAGATCTTCCTGAAGGAGTATAGGATCATTAACATTATTAATTAACTTGACGATTTTTAGGTCATCTGCATATAAGTGTATTTTAGAATTCAGAAAGCAGGAAGCGACGTCATTAATGAACGCGTTAAAGAATAAAGGTCCCAAGTGTGATCCTTGTGGGACTCCAGAGGCTATCAAAAATGACGAAGATATGAAACCATTCAATACTACTCTGGAGGATCGTTGAGTCAGGTATGATTCACACCAGTTGAGAAGGTTACCGAAGATACCGTAGCGGAATAACTTAGAGACGAGAGTTTTGTGGTCAACCTTGTCGAACGCTCGGCTGAAATCCGTGTAGATGACGTCAACAGGCGTACCATGGTCCACAGCTGCCACCAAATCAGACACGAAACCCGCCAGATTTGTTACTGTAGAACGCGACCTAATAAAGCCATGCTGTTGTGGTAGTAAAATATTCTTAAAATGCCAGGCCAAGAACGGGTGTACCAGCACCTCAAAGACCTTTCCGAAAATTGATAACAATGAGATAGGACGGTAGTTATTTACTGAAGTCTTGTCTCCAGATTTATATACAGGTACAATTAAGGCTTCTTTCCATATGGAGGGAAAGATACCTGTTCTAAGCGATTTGTTATAAATCAGGGAAAGAGGTTCGGCAAGGACTTCATGGCAAGAGGCAACAAAAGAAGACGGGAGTCCATCAGGACCTGCACCCTTACGGGGGTCAAGTGCCTTCAGTGCTTTATCGACCATGTCTGTGGTTATGGTGACGTCATGTAAGGTCTGAGATCCAGAGGCGTCATAAACAAGTGAGCATGTAGCGTTCATATTCGCACTATTAAAATCGCAGTCATAAACAGATGAGAAACATGAGGCGAAGGCATTACAGATCTCGGGCCCCGTATGTGCAATTTTATCTTTATAAGTCATAGCAGATGGATATGAACTGCAACCCTTACGCTTCTGCTTTAAAAAAGACCAAAACAGTTTGGGATTAGAGGTTAAGGAGGTTTCGATTGATTCTATGTAAGAGTTATAGCTACTTTGTGCAAGTTTGTTACATCTAGTTTTGAGAATGTGAAAGGAAATATCATCTAATGGGTTTTTGAACTGAATATAACGCTTACGGTATTTGTTTTTTTCACGCAATAAGCGGATGAGGTCTTTATTGATCCAAGCAGGGTAATTGTTCGAATGCGGCTTAGACATGGGCACATATTTTGATATGAGTTGATTAACAGTACTGTAAAATACCCCCACCATGCTATCAACACAAAGACAAGAAGCGAATTTTTCATGCCAATTTATTGTCTTAAGTTCTTTTATTATTTTACCGTAGTCAGCTTTATGGTATTTAAACTTAGGCTCTTGGTTATAGCTCAGGTTGTCAGTTACATGGCCCGATATATTGAATTCAAAAGGTGGGTGGTGAATATCAACTTTTGATAAGGGAAAAGTACACATCCGCAAGTCACTAACTAATATGTTCGATAGAACTAAGTCAAGAATTCTGTTTTTACTATTTAGTACATAATTATATTGTTCTAAGCTATTTAAAGAAATAAAATCTATGAGTAAATTCTCACATACACTGCCCCCGCTAGCCGAAGCCCTGTACGACGGCCCCGGGGAACCCAACCACCTGATGCCACCCAAGTTGAAATCGCCAATCAACAAAATATTCCCTGCATTCATAAGAACTTTATTTGCATTATCTAGAAAATGTTCATATATATGTATCTGTGCAGGCGGTGGAATATAAATACTGCATATGTATAGTTTTTCGACCTTGTTGTTGATACAGGTATCTATACAAACCCAAACGTCCTCACATTTACTTTCGTATTGAATACATCGCACAGATTTTAGGCGTTTAGACACTGCTATAAGTACTCCACCACCGGATTTGCTATTGTGAAAACCACTACTGCAACGGTCGCGCCTGTAAACAGAATATCGGTCAGAAAACAGCTCCGAATCCAAAATATCACCCGCTAACCACGTCTCGCATAACACAATAATGTCATAATCACAAGTTAATCCGTTAATATAAAAGTCTGCAGTTTTAGTCCTCAGTCCCCTTACATTTTGGAAATAAATATTTATTTTATCTGAGAATTTGACAAATTAAAAGTATTAATGCAGGTTAAAATTTAACATAGAAAAAAAATAAAAAACAATATACGTTTATATCACATAATATTACTTAAGATTATTTATGACATCAATATTACGAATAAAAATAGGCTCTGAGTCGTCTGTTTTTCGCATGTAAACACGCCCGGCGCGTACCCACACATATTTATAATCCAATTGTTTAGCGCGCAGGCGTGCTGCAGCGTGCAAATGCCTGTTCTCTGGGGTCAAATTTTCCACAACAAATATAGGTGTCTTCTTGTCATCGATACCAAGAGTACTGGAATTTAATTTTTCGTCGGGGTTTTTTTTGTTGTACTGTATGGAGGCAGCAAGCACAGTATCTCTCAATCTTGGAGTACTAAATTTCACCAGTATGGATCTAGGACGCTCACTGTTATTGTTAGACTTGGCAATACGGGAACAATAGCTAATGTCGCTGTCATTTACGGGACACTTGACGACACCACTGAGCTGTTTAACGATAGATAAAACGTTCTCAGACCTATGCTCGGGGACGCATTGCAGTTCCAGGTTAGCCGACCTCGACAGTTGATCCATCTGGCGGACGCGACTAGAGAGGGCATTAAGTTCACAGCGTAATAATTCATTCTCCTTATTTAGTGTATTTATATCGGAGCTATGCTTTTCTATATCCTCTTTCAGCGAGTCGAAGTGCTCACTCAAGAAATTTAAGGAGTCTTTGAATTCACTCAACTGATCAGTAATATCCTTGAAACGAGAAGTTATTGTTTCAGTCAATTCGCAGGTAAACTCACGCATAACAGACCTCATCTCCTCGCGTATCAGCAATTGAATATCAGTACGCGTAACATAATCCGAGGAAGTTCCCATGGAAGTAATCACTTGGTCGTGTTTGGTTTGGACCTTACGACGAGCCACATTAAAAGTTATATCTGCTAAGCCAGTAGGTGTGGAGGGCCGCACATAGTTGTTAGTATTGTCTCCCTTAGGCTGCTTATTTCGGCAATTCGGGCACATCCATTTTAATTTAGCGTCCTGTTTGATGTTGTTTACTTCTTCTGATGACATATTCAAGCATAAATAATGATAAATTTCCGCACAACGCGAGCATTCCAGATGATCATTATCTTTAAGTTTGCTGTTACAAGCTGCACAGTTCTTCATTGTTAACAGGATATATTCTTACACGGAAAAAATGTAGGTTCAAGAAAAATAGATTATTTCTCAATGTTATTTCAATCGGCGACGTCAATATTTTCGATGTGGGTAAGTACACTGAACAAATTCAACGACGACACTATACTGAGTTTAATTTGGAAAAAAATATCACTTAAATTCTCAAATTATATATTTTAAATACACTGTTAGCTATTTCACTGTTCAGTAATTAACTTGTAGTGACGTTATTATGAAAAATAGATAGAAATGTTTGCACTATTTTGTCAAATATTGGGGAGATTTGTTACTTTGACCACGAGTGCTATAGTATTTGTAAACATTTTAACACTTGATATTAGCTAAATGCACAAGCCGTGCGAAGCCATTTATTAATTTAATTCATGTATAGATCAGGGAGTATTCCCTGATCTTATGAAATACAGTAAAATCATACCTTTATTTAAGTCTGGAAATTGTAAGATCCTAGCAACTATAGGCCAATATCTATATTACCAGCATTGAGTAAAACCTTTGAAAAAATAATGTTAGAACAATTGTTGACTCATTTTAACATTAATAAACTTTTACACAGAGCGCAGTACGGTTTCACTAAAAACCGTTCCACAACTGATGCTGGTGCCACTATGCTAAAATATATATTTAATGCTTGGGAAAAGTCGCAGAATGCTCTTTGGGTTTTCTGCGATTTATCTAAAGCCTTTGATTGCGTTAATCATCAAACTTTGTTACGGAAATTAAATCATTACGGCATAAAAGATTCCGCACAAAAATCAGTGCAATAATATTTAACAGAAAGGACACAAATAGTTGATATTAACGGTGCAAAATCTGCCGGGTCTCATGTGAAAATAGGCGTTCCTCAGAGTTCAATTTTAGGTCCATTTCTTTTTTTAATTTACATTAATGATTTACCTTTCTTTGTAAAAAATTTTTGTGAAATTGTTTTGTTTGCAGATGACACCTCGCTAATTTTTAACGTTGACAGGTGTAAAACTAATTATGACGATGTAAACAATGCACTTTCCAAGGTGCTCCACTGGTTCTCTTCTAATAATCTTAGACTTAATGCGAGCAAACCTAAATGTGTGAAATTTACTTTGCCGAATGTACAGCATGCTGAAATGTGGGATATAATTCTAAATGTTGAAAAACTAATTTTAGTCGATACAACCGTTTTCTTAAGCGTAACACTAGACCACAAACTTCAATGGAACCCTCACACCGGTAAACTTAGTTCCGCTGCTTATGCAATCTATAAAATAAGACGGCTTACAGATGTCGACACTGCTAGGACAATATACTTCAGCTATTTTCACAGCATTATGTCGTATGGCATTCTATTGTGGGGCACGGCCGCTGACATTGAAACAGTTTTTATTCTTCAAAAACGCGCTATAAGAGCTATTTATCGCTTGGGATCTCGAACTTCTCTAAGGGATAAATTTAAAGAAATAGGTATATTGACTGTTGCCTCTCAATACATTTACAATTGTATATTGTTTGTGCGTCAGAACGTTTATATAGGAGGCGCGATGATGTACATAATTTCAATACCAGAAATAAAGATAAACTCAAATTGCCACCGTTGAGACTCCAAAAGGTTCTTGGTTCATTTGTGGGTCAAGGCATATGTTACTATAATAAAATACCAAAAGAAATAATTAATTTACCTTTCAATAAGTTTAAAGTGTCTATAAAAACATGTCTCCTTAATACCCCTTCCACACGACACAATTTGATTGCCAATATGATTGCCGATTGAATTGGGTACAATCTGGTCGTCCGTCTACACATACACAACAAGATCGCCAATTTCAGTTTTATTTGTTGCCTCTGCTGAACGGACTTGTTTGTATTAGGATGCCTCTTACCAAGAAGCAAAAAATTGGATTAATCTTGGCTCTAACTACAAATGTAGATGAGAAAAAAAGAAAAAGAAGACTGTGGACAAAAGAATGGTTATTAAAAAGAAAGCAATTGAGGCACTTAAATGTAGTTATATTATATTTAAGTGACTCAATTAATAAACTTAAATATAGTTATACTTAAAGAGTAATATTTTTAAAGAAAATATAACTAGAAAAAATTCCACGCGGACCAGGCAGCAGACGGGACTCGAACCCGCACCCTTCGAAAACCCTTTAAAATATAACTGAGTTATATTTTCTTTAGATTTAAACATCAAGCAGTTACATGCGTTAAAAATTATAACTATAATTGCTATTTCTTATTTCAAATGTTTAATACTTGTAAAAGTATTCATTTGACATTGTGGGTTACCTATAATGCGAAGAGATGGCGCTGCCTTGCAACTTAAGAATGGCTGGAAGAATTTCGACGCGGTTCGTGAGGGCCGCGGTAGCATAATTGGTCAGTGCATTCGCCCGGATTGCGAAGGGTGCGGGTTCGAGTCCCGTCTGCTGCCTGGTCCACGTGGATTTTTTTCTAGTTATATTTTCATTAGATTTAAACATCAAGCAAATTACATGCTTAAAAAATAAAAATTATAAAAAAATATATATAATATTATTTCTCTTTTACCCCAGCATGCGCGCATATCATTGAGTAGAATATAAATTTAATTAAATGATGTTTTATTTTCAATAACAAATAACTGCCTGGTCCGCGTGGATTTTTTTCTAGTTATATTTTCTTTACATTTAAACATCAAGCAGTTACATGCTTTAAAAATAATAAAAATTATAACAGTAATATTTTTATCGATATTTTTCCACTTATTCCGCAAAATCTCTAAAGAATTATGCCTTGCTTGTTTATTTTTATATAATGGGTTAGACACATCCCAAAAGCGTGGCAAGTCTTTACATATATCTAAAATCTCCTCCATTACTTCCCGTTCAGATCGAATAGACATAATATTGTCGTCATGTTGTTCCATCTTCTTCTCAAAAGACAAGTCAACGCACACACCCGCTCTGAACGCCGCTTGCACAGTGACTACCAAAGAGTAGTATAATATGACTACGTTAACAAATTGGCCAGTTAGCGTCCACACCACCATTGGGCAATCCCGAATCGGGCAATACCGACCATCCAATGACCTTCAATTTCATATTTCCGTCCACACAACACAATTCGATTGTCAATCTAATCAAATTGGACGTAAAATTGTATCGTGTGGATGCCACTTAAGAAAGGTTACTATACCGTTAAATTGAACGATTTAATTTAATAAATAATTTAATAAATTTAATCTTAAGATTTCATAAATGGGTCAGGCCGCCATTTTTTGCTGATTTTGAAAACTGTTTTCTCCGCGGTCAGTATTTTGAAAAGTATTATAGATATCGGATTTTCGATGACTGCTTTGGATTGAGCAACAAAGTGACTCAAGTGGACATTATGATTATTTCAGGTCAGATAATAAACAAAAAATATATTTCGAATGAAATCTGAAAAAAGGTAGTAAAATTACACAAAAACTTCTATCCGCCGAGGTAGAGGCTTAGATTAAAACAAAAAGGGTAGATACGGTACGCTCATACTTGCATCAAACAAAAAGTGATCCCACGGCAGCGCAAACGAGACGGCGAGATCCGCGTCACTGCACTACCGACCAATCACGCGACCAGTACTCGACGTCACTACCGAATAAGATTCAAAACAAACAGCAATTTTTATGAAAAAATATATTTTACAGTACTTACGAATGAAAAGTGATGCCGAGGGTTTTATTTTTAGTTCTTGAGCAATTTGAGCACTTCTTAAAAACACACTTAGGCATTGTTTTATCATATAAACACAAAATATTAGCAATATTTCTTTTGGCGTTCACATGTACGTCGTTTGCATGTCAAGTTGTGACTAAAGCGATTAGAGTCGTGGACCACAATTTATGCCGATCACTTTTGTGAGTCTAGTGCCGTATCTACCCTTTTTGCATTAATCTAAGGGTAGAGGTGCACTTTAACTATCGTAGTAGCAAAAAGTATGTCAGTTTTTGAGACATGGCTGATACTTTTAGAATACTTATATTCATAGCTATCCGTGCTTTTAATTTAGCAACGTTTATCCTAAGAATTTCCTTGAAAATGATTTCAAATAAGTTTTCGTCAAAAACTATACTTATACGCCACTTTGTCAACGCCACCTATTCTCCATGTTCTATTAAACTTTAGGAATCGGTGAAGTTCAAATCGGGAAGTGGAATTACTGAGTTTCTGTAATGTGTGGACAGCGGCTTGACGAGCGGCTATATTTTTGACAGTGGACATGTGAACGTCTGGTGTAGTTTGTGTACACAATTTTTTCAAGGTAAGATTTTTGTGCATAAAAAAGTAAGTTTGATTGTTACACGAAAAACAAATAGTGCATCATGTTAGTAGAAGTGAAAGCCATGTTTAGAGCTATAATGCAACTCAAATCATACTTTATTTACAGAGATATTGGTGTCGATTCTAGCATGATTCCCTAAACCTAAACTTAAATTTGTCAACAGTGTATCCTTGTCATTCTCTATACAAAATGAAAAGGAGAGACTGATGTTAAATTTAGTTTTAAGTTTAGATAATCACGCCAGAATTGGCACCATAAGTGGTTTTCTCAACGCGCCGATAGCGTAGAAGTAGAAATACGCCACCACTTTGGTACTTCAACGCCAACGGTAGCGTAGATATTCGTCACCTCCTCTACGCCACCAAATAAAGGAGGTATCCACTCGTTTTTATTATACTAACTTTTTATCTGACTGCCGAAGAAAGGAGAGATTGTATGTATGTATACTAACTAAACCCATTCGTGTAATTTCAGCTTGTATTTCTTAGGGTGCGGCCAGAGTGCACTCAGATTCAGATTCAGATTCAGATTTCGAAAACAAGCGCGAGAAATAAACAGTGTAGTCGAAGGGTACGGCCAGATTGCACTCCTGATTCAGATTCAGATTCAGACTCAGAAAACAAAGCGCGAGAAAAAGCAGGCAACCTGCTTAGACTACACTGTTTATTTCTCGCGCTTGTTTTCAGAATCTGAATCTGACTCTGAATCTGAGTGCACTCTGGCCGCACCCTTAGGCTGCAAGGCATAGATCATGGTAACATAATGGTCAGTGCATCTGCCCGGATAGCGGAGGGTGCAGTTTCGAGTCCCGTCTGCTGCCTGGACCGCGTGGAATTTTTTTTAGTAAAAATTTTCTTTAGATTTAAAATCTAGCAAATAAATGCTTTAAAAAATAAAAATATATTAATTGTCTAGTTGATTATAAAATTGTTGATGTTTTTATTTACTTAGATATAGGGCACTACTTCTTATTCTAAATTCAACGAGCTGGTCCATTAGTGGGGGTCCATTATTAAATTGTGTTTATTATTAGATGTCCATATTTGGTGCATGTTCATCACTGGATGTCCATTAAATGATTTTCCTTGTCCATTACTAGCTTAAAAAACCGTGTTTGTATTTTAATGATATCTCTCATTTTTATGCGGTTATTTCTAACTTTTTCGGCATAAGCATAAAGGAAAAAAGACGGACATTAAGCTCAACATTGATGTTTAAACAAAATCCTGATATATTAGGAATAATCCTGCAAAAACCCACCTTTTCATCCTTAAAGTGTCCATAATTGGTGCAATTACGTTATACAACATAATTTAATCTTAATATTTTGGCATGTGTATGCCAACCTTAACATTTATTCGTTACTATTCTACGCCCAGTGTGGCAACACTGGGCGTAGTTAAAAACCACCAAGGTGGCAACCTTGGTGGTTTTTCCACCAGAACTGCTTGCACGGCTTCTAGTGGTATATTTTCATGATCTAGTGGGTATATTTTTGAAGTTATACTTCTTTAGCCGCGTTATGAAAAAATGATGAGAGTGAAATTTTAAGATGCGCGCGCAACACTATGAAGTCGGCCGCTAAACCGCACATTACTCGTAAGTCTCGAAAAAAAGCTTCCAACAAAATAGTAATAGGATCTCTTAGTCGCACATGTTGGGACGCTCGTCGCCTCTGATCACTGTTTTCATATTTATAATATTTATCCACATGTTTCTAGTTTCTATATTCTTAACACGTGTTATAATGTTATACAAATGCGAAATTTATATGTGCTAATAAATTTTATTCAGTAGTGATTGAAATTGAATATTTTGATTATTTATTAAATTTTTCAAATTAAAACTGAACTTTATTGACTGCGTTGACTATCCTTTTCCAATCCTTTTATTATCTTATTGTAATTAATTATCTGCATGCAATTAAAAACTATTTTTTAATAATTCCAAAAAGAAGTATAACTTCTCACGCGCTTACATAAGTACACGCACCCATATTTTTTTTTAGTGTTTTTAGTGGTTTTTTAACATGAAATCTAGCAACATATTTTTAAAGGAGAAATCCCCTAACTTTCCGGAATTTCATAATGTTCTATGCTTACTCTGTGACAGGGGAATTCCTACACGCGTTTGTCTGTTAAGGGCTTCATTTAATCGTTCATTCTGTTTCAGAAATTAGGTTCACGTTTAAGTTTGATTTGATAGAAACGTTTGTAACAGTGTGTGAACTCCTGAAGCTGTATGTTTAGAGTATTCAATTATATATTATTATGGAAATTCTATTCAAGAAAAAGAATTACTTACAAAAGTATAGAAAAGAATAGGAATCACTCGACGAATTCCAAACCTGGCTTAAACCTTTAGCAGGTGTTGATGCGAAGGCGTTTCGTTCATTTTGTAAAGCAGAATTATTAGCAAAAGTAGTAAATTTGAGAAGACGTGCTGAAACAAAAAATGCAAATTCTATCCGGCAATCAAACGATATCGATATTTATTTCTTGATTATAAAGAATGAATGTAAATACATATTTACCTGATTTTATTTCATTCTCTAGTAGGTACTACTAAGGTAACGCTCGGAAAAGTTATAAGTTAGTAAAAACAATAGTGATGTCGATTCTGGCATGGTTCTCTAAAGCTAAACTTAAATTTGACAACAGTGTATCCTTGTTCTTCTCTATACAGAATGAAAAGGTGAGACTGATCTTAAATTTAGTTTTAAGTTTAGAGAATCACGCCAGAATTGAGACCAGTGCCATGTTTTTCAAATAACTAAATTTTATTAATTTAGGATGACTGCGGGATACAGTTATTTCTGTAGGATTTCATACATATTCACTGGCTTTTTATTTAAATTAGGGTTTTTTGTTGTCTGAGATGTAATTGTAATTTAGCGGTTTTTGGTGTATTTTATGAACTCCAAATTTTTGAAATCTGGTGATATTTTACCTTTGACTTGGCGCCTTAAAAAAATCCAAGGTGGCAACACTGTCTACGCCACCAACACAATACTTCTGCGCCATATCAGCAAAAAATGGCGGCCTGACCCAAATGATAAGTCACCTTGGGCTTAATATAACAGACTAAGGTTTTACTTTGCTGATTTGGTTGAAAATTGTTTAATCACCACTTCTAAATTTAAAAGTAGTACTTAGCTATACTTAACTTTTGTTAATTAATAATATTAATGTGATGGAAGTTGACATCAATACAAGTTTTCAAATGTTGATGTAATCTTTCAATTGACGACACTGTTTGAAACAAAACCGGGAGAAAAAAATAGCCCTTGCTGAGTTTCTTACCGGTTCTTCTCAGTACAAGGTGTCCCGCCGTAGATTTACGAACCGATGGCGTAGCGTTTGACTTTCACAAGAGCTTGTAACAGCCTAGACTGAATAAATGAGTTTGAGTTTGAGACAAAATAGTGACAAATCGGTAATTGGATAGACATATGAATATTGTTTATTGACTTTATATATTACAGTTTTTTAAACAGTAACAAAAAAGTCATATGACTTTTTAAGGTAGATAACTGTCCTGTCCTTCACACACCATAACAATGATAGGTACCACTAAACTTTATTTTTTTATACAATACGATCTGGGAAGAATTCGCATCGTAATTGATCCATATTATATTGCCATGAATTGGCCATGAATCAATTATCCAAAAGAGCGATTCAGATCGAGAAAAATCAGTCTAATCTGTGGATCGAGCATCCTCATCTCCGTAGACAGAGAAGACTGTTCTCTGTCTACGCTCATCTCCTTAGGAGTCTGTGGGCATCCTCCCTCTATGAAATAAAGAAAACGTTATCTGTGCTGATGTGCTCTATGGTTGAGCGTGGTTGTTTGCCCCAAAGAGTATTTTTAGGTTTGCCATTTCATCGAAGTGGAAAGAGAAAATAATAGTGTCATTTTGAACAATAAAGTACATAAATCGAAATAATAACGGTTACAGAACAAGATTAACAATGGATGCAAAGTCATTTCTATTTTCATGGTGCTCTAAAAAGAGTTTATCGCCGGCATATGACATACGCGCTACAGGTTAGTTTTATAAATCAATTTCTGTTGGTTAGTAAACTAAAGTTAAAATTGATCATAAAATAACGCTCAAAGCTTAACGCGTTGGCTACTATTACTAACCCCTTTTACACTACCTTCAGGTCCCAAACATCGTCAACGTTTTTTATGCGAAGTTCGTGTCGATGGCTATTCCTATGTGGGTGCAGGAAACTCGACAACTAAGAAGGAAGCTCAGATGAATGCATCTCGAGACTTCGTTAACTATTTAGTGAGATCGGGTGATGTTCCTAAAAATGATGTTCCTGAAGATGTTGGCGTCAAGAATGACCAAGAAGAGAGTTTTCACGCACCCACTTCTCGTGGAAATAATGAAAGTCATGCGAGACCAGTATTTCAGGTATGTTTGTGTAGCATTTTTTTTACAATATCAGTCTGAATGGCTGGTTTTAGTTTTTTGAAGTATTGTATAGATCATTGTCGATTGAGTTGGCTAACCAAAATATAAAGGCAGAAAGCTCGTATTTTTTCAAATCATTCTGCAAAGTGTGCAACCTCACAGTTTTATAGAAAAAATATGTTTAATATTTTTACTTTGATAGTATTAATTTACTTAAAATAACACATACAAAAACAACATCCAAGAAGTGATACAAAAGTTCATTCACCTTATACAGACTATGGGAATGACAGTCTAATGACTATCTCTTTCATCCCATATATACGACAATAAATCTCATTCTGTCATGTCACGTCATTGCAGGGGCGTCGAGTTTGCAAACATTCAGGCACCCATTTTACAGTAAAAAATAATGACATATATTCATTTCGTTTTGTCTTTCTGATACTACTCATGGAAATAAAAATAATTTTAGTTTTTTGAAGTATTGTAATAATGTTTTAATAATATGAACTCCATGACTAACTATTTTTTAAATTAAATTTAAAAGAAATGCCGGCTCCTACTTTGTTCAATGACGTAGCACCAACTTTGTTTACATTTTGTATCGTTTCTCATGCTTCTCGTTGGCCATACTTTACATTTTTTAAGACTAACATAGCCAGAGGGTAAAAACGGGACCGTATTACTAAGAATTGCACTGTCTGGCCGTCTGTGTGATTGTCACCAGGCTGAATGAACCACCATGAACATGAACCATGACAGCTAGACATTTAAAAATTTCAAAGATGATGTATTTCCGTTGCCACTATAACAAGAACAACCAAAAAAATATACATAAATATTGAAGGGGGGCTTTTTGCTGTTTTTGCTCTAACAGGTAGATGCTTGAAATATTAACAAAAAATACATATTGTAGCTACAAAAATAGATCCTTTTCATATACCTACTCTCTCTTATTACCTTAAAGTCCATATTAAAAACACAATTGGTAGTATTGTGACCATAAAATGAGAGCCAAGCCAGAAAAGAAAAGATTTGATGGAGGAAGGGTTGTAGTCGTAGAGACTAAGGGCCTGACCTCAAAATTTTTACTGTTAATATCTCGTTAACATTTGTCCAGAGAGAGGTTATTCCCTCCCCCTTCCTCTGCTACCAGCCCTTAAATTGACCGACCATAATCTATATTTATACCCTTTTATTATAACTTTATATAATTCAGTTGCTATTTTGTTGACTATAGGACGGAATGGGTCCAGAGAGTATGGGCCAAGCATACCATGCTTATGGTGGTCAGAATCAGAACTTTACCTACATGGATCGCCTGCAGCAGCAGAAAAATGTTGAGGAGGCTGAAGACTTGGATGTGAATGCCTCGCTGCATGGAAATTGGAACATGGACAATGCAAAATCAAAATTGCATCAGTTCATCCAAATGAACAAAGTCAATACTGATTATGTATACAAGGCTGTAGGGCCTGACCATACACGGTTTGTTGTTATTATCATTAAGGTAATTTTCAAAATTTATACTTCTTTTTTATCAGATAGAGAAGGAAGTAAAAGCAGCAAAGTTTAATTGAAATTGATTTATTGAGATAAACTATTATTTTATTATTATTATTTCTCAACTTTAAAGCATTACTTTTATAAATTTACAAGAGTGATGCTTTAAAGGAGAGGCTCAATAAAAAAATAAATAATTATGACATCTGCCATGAAAATTATATTATTATGGGCCTGATTCTGGTGTGATTCTCTAAACCTTATACTCTCTCCTTTCTATTCTTTAAAGTACATGGTAAGGATATACTATAGTTAAATTTAGTTTAATGGTGCGAACATTTGGCCATTAAACCAGATACGAGTGCCAATAGAATTGGGGTAAAGGACGAAGTGTAAATGAATGGAGTCAAATATGCAAGGGTGTTTTCATTTTAGTTACTTCACAAGTAGCCCAGTAGACAGTCTCCCAGCCCGTATTCCAGTGTATAGATTGCTTCTGGTGCCCAAATTCAACTAATGTCTTTCATGCACCAAGTGTTATTGAACCATAATGCTGGGACCGCACCTGCGTGGATCGCCACGAATCTGCTTATGAATACACGATATGCACAGTTGCTAATGGCCATTATTGGCGAGCATGGTGAACGTTTAAGCTGCAGGTGCGTTTTCGCTTGGGAGGTACGTCAAAAGGATTTAGTGCGCTAACTAAACGCCTTGCGTGGCCAGATTAGCATTGTTCAATTAGGTGGTTGACCCTGACTAGTTCAGACGCATGCAGATAATTATGTATCAATACAATATCTTTATAGTAGAATGAAATGGTGCTGCATTTTCTCCATAATTATGAACCGTTACAATTTAAATGAATGCATTTTGTAATTGTGAGCACAGTTTTTATTTCTACACATGTCGAAATATGAAAAGTCATCATCCTTAGTTGAATGTCAGGAAATGATTATGGCCATCTTGGTTAATCCCGTGATAGTTTGTACAAAATACAGAAGCTGCTAATATGACCAGAGGCCTTATCACCAAAATTTTTTAGTGTCAAAACGTACGAACCTTGGGCACGCATTACTTAGGGGCGATACACATAGGTGTGCCTGCACCATTAGAGATTCATGTCAGAATCAGGTCCCCTTGTTGCATAAAAAAAAGACTTGCTTTTGCCATAAATAATAAATATTGATATTGTATACAAATAACAAAGAGCTCTCTCTTATAATAAATTAGTATACTATTTGACTAACTTGTACATATCAGTTGATTCTTGTATTGTAATTGATTTATTTTATATTTATATCTTTTCTATTTTGAGTTTCAAGAAGCCACTGATTATTCATTATTGTTTGAAAAATCAATGGATGCAAATTATGATAGATTGGGAATGTGGTCAAGTATTTATGATAATAATGGTGAAGCAAATTTTGCAATGAAAAAAGGCAAATTATGCTTCACACAAGCATAAGTTAATAGTATGTAAATATATAGTACACAGCATAAAATCTAAGACTGTTACATATTTTTCTGTAGCAACCATTAGCCATTTTCTGTACAACAGAAAGCTTAACTTTTCTTCTTACAAAACAGGATTTAAAATAAAAACAGTAAAAGGGGATAAATAATAAACACCATTTTTTTTTGTCACTGCACTGTATAATAGGGCTAACTATTTATCTAAACTATTTGGATCATTAAAATTATGAAAATGGCATTTGGATGCATTGCAATACATTTAACAGTCTTTGATTTTGTTCTGGATGCAGGTTGAGCACAAAAGGCAGAATACTTGACCACATACCCTGTTCTACACATTAGCTTGTCGTAAAGTAAGCTGGGTAAGTCTTGTTTTATGGATTTTTGTTATTAATAATAGTCCAGGCAACGAATGCTCAAAAACAGGTATAGAGGGAAGGGAAATGCTTGGAACACAATTTTTGACTTCGTAACTTTGTTAGGACTAGTTAGGAGGTAAACATATCAAAAGTCCCCGCCCGTAGCCTATAGCCGGGGGGAGGGGGGGGGGGGGATTGAAGGTCCCATTTTTAGGTGTTTCGCATATATCTCGGAAACTATGCATCCTAGCGACATGACACTTTAACAAAAGTGAAAGCTGATTAAATTTGCTACAAGTCTTATTCAGTCAAGTTTTTTGATATCTTGTATAGTTTTCGAGATATCAGCTCTTGAAAGTCTGTAATTATGGAAAAAAAATTTTGCTACCACTTCCTGCGAATGCTATTTTACTGCTCCCTCGGTGGGAGGAAGACAAGAGATATCAGGCTTGATGGTGGCCACTGATTTCAAGAATGACTTGTACCTGTAGGCATTGAGGGAAATCTCTTTCGCTGGAGCTCCATACCACCTTAAGATGCAGGTCTCACCTGCCTTTTGTACTTGAGCGGTGGTGGAGAAAGGGTGTGAATAGACCGCTGCTGCTTTCTGGATTTCTGGTGACTTGATAATGTCTCTGGTCTCTGGGAAGGGAGGAAATTTCTCAAACCAATCGGTGAGCTTGGCAATGTCAGCTCCATCCTTGTTTTGGCAGGCTTGTCCGAAATCTGCATGCTGCTCACTGGTGAAACCAACAACCTTACGGCCGGTATTGTTGAAGAGTTATCCGGTCAAAGAGAGCAAAAATGTGAAGCAAATTTTTTTTCCATAATCACTGACTTTTAAGAGCGGATATCTCGAAAACTACACACATCAAAAGTGTCTAGGGATCAACATATATTTTTGCAATAACTTTTCTCCTGATTGATATTAATTAAAATTTTCTTTAAGGATTCATCAAATAAAGTGTTTTCGTTTGTCACAGTAACGATAAACCAAGTCACCTTTGCATTAATAAAGAAATTTGCCATTTTCCTAATAAAGGGATTTTTGACATTTGAACCACTAACACAAAAGTTCGAAAAAAAGACTGAAATAACAGTTTTCTCTAAAATTTTATTGGGTAACTTAAACAATTAATAATCCGTATTTCTACCGCGAACACTAACAACACAAGAACATCGGTTTGGCATACTCAAAATGAGTTCATCCAAATCACGCTGTGGAATGGCCGCCCATGTTCGTTGCAACAACAAAAAAAGGTCTTCTTGCGACTGGATACCCTCCATATTCGGCAGAGCTCTTCTCTGTAGCATATCCCATGCATGCTCAATCGGGTTCAAGTCTGGCGACTGAGCAGGCCAGGGCAGGACATTGATGTTAGCTGCGGCGAGAGTCTGTCTTACAACTCTTGCGGTGTGCGGTCGTGCATTATCATGCATTAACTGAAATAAGGGACCGATTTGCACTTGTAGAGGAACGATGACGTCTGATACAATCGTCTCAGCATAAATTTGAGCGTTGAGGTTGCCTCTGATCCAAATCAACTCAGTTCTTCCGCCGATCCAAATACCCGCCCATACCATGATGGTTCCACCACTATAAGGATGGACTTCCTGGCAGGATTTTAATCGCTGTTGGCGTCCAGGGGTTCTCCAGTGTCGTATACGTCTTGTATCCGGTCTCATACCAAAACGAGACTTATCAGAAAAGCACACGAAACGCCATTGTTCTTCTGCCCAATTTCTGTGTCGATCGGTCGATTGTGCATTGCTATAGGTGGTACCCGTAGCGGTCTTCGGGAATGAAGGTTCACTTCATGCAAGCGGTTTCTGACTGTTTGGTCGCTAATTAAGTTCCCTGAAGAGTGATGAAGCCTCACGGCTAACATCATGGCGGTTATTGTTGGAGCTCTTCGAGTTAAGATTTGAATGTATCGGTCTTGTCTCCGTGTGGTGCAGCGATACCGTCCTCCATGGCGCTCAGCCACGGTACCAGTGCTTCGGTATCGTGTCCAAAGTCGACTGATAACACTCTGACTTGTATTCAGAGCTAAAGCCACAGTACGTTGCCGGGAACCAGCTTCTATCATTCCCACGGCTCTGAGCATTTCTTCCCTGCTTAAATGACGTCGCCGCTCCATAATAACGTTGGTTTTAATCAGTAGTAGGGAAACAGTAGCACTAATAATGTCTTCAATGCGTTGTATGTTTTTATAGGGAAAATATTGACAGCTGATTTTCATCTTTTACTCGAATTTGATTCACAGTTCCTGATTCAAATTATGAAATGCACCAAAAAGGATCCATATAAATTTATAAAATCATAAATATATTACAAAGCCACATCTCAATCTCAAGAAATCCGCATAAAAATGCTTGATCCGTAGACACTTTTGATGTGTGTATATAAGATATCAAAAAACTTGACTGAATAAGACTTGTAGCAAATTTAATCAGCTTTCACTTTTGTCAAAGTCTCATGTCGCTAGGATGCATAGTTTCCGAGATATATGCGGAAAACCTAAAAATGGGACCTACACCTCCTTAACTAAAATTGTTTAGCCATGAATATCAGCAGTTTAGCACCAACTTACTTGCATGTATACTGTTTCTGCTACTATCGGAATTTTGGCCATATTGAAATGTATTTTAACCTGAAAATTTATTGCTACTTGTATAGGAGTTTCTGTTGCGAAATGAATTTATACGTCCACCAACTGGGACGCACTATCACTGGCCGGGAAACTGCCTCCAACAAGCAGACTGCAAGCAAATCTTGTGCCCTTTCCCTGGTTCGCCAGTTGTACCATCTGGGAGTGATTGACGCCTTCAGTGGGACTTTGAAGAGAGACAGGTAATTAGTAAAAATTTATACGACCTTTTTCTCCTGAACTGTCTATAAATAAAATGGTCTAAAATGCTTTTTTTATTACAGGTCTGCAGAAGGACTAATGAAGCCATATCCTGTTGCTATAAATCCAGAATTAGAGCAGTTATTGGAAGATACACTGGGAGGTTATTATCTAAGTTAACAAATAATTAAGAAGTTATACTAACTAGTTATTTTTGACCATCCTCCCAAAGCAGTTTTATTTTATCAACTGGCATGTGACCAAGTTTTATGTTTTTATAACTAAGAATATCATTAGACTTCCAAACTTTACAGTCTTGAAATGAATTGACGGAGTAAATGCTTTTTAAAGAATAACCATTCATGGTCGTTGTTATACTGTAGAATTGAACATCGAACCGATCGACGTGAACAACCCGCCTACGGCGTCGTTAACCGAAGGCCAGGAGGGGTCCACCGCTGTGACGTTGTTGCAAGTCGATCGTGTGAAGGCGATGCGTGAAGCTCGTCCGACACCAGGTGGGGTTGTGTCCTGGTCGCCTCCACAAGCCAATTGGAACGCGTGGACTGGATGTAACATAGGTGAGAACGAGTATTTTGTTCCGTTGCTGTGACGATATTGCAAGTTAATCGTGTTAAGGCAATGCGTGATATATAGGATTAATAGGTATCATAATATTAATGTATTGAGCAGTTTTAAGATATTGACAGTCGCTCTATTCGACAGACGAGGGCCCTCTTGCCACGACCAGTCTCGACGACTTTAGTGCGGACTTGGAGAAAAGTCACCGGAACATGTGTCAGAACAGCCAGCTGTATCAGGTAATTAATGCATTGGACGTTTAAATTAAATTTTAACTTCAAATTTATCAAGGGCTGAAAGATTTTGTGTTGTATTTACTTAAATGTACTACTAATTGAAAAAAAATAAACACAATTAAACTTAATCATCAGCTGTTAGTAGTATATGTTACAACCGCAGCTATCAATGAAAGATTTATTGTTTTAAACTTTCATGGTCACTAACATTATAGCAATTAACGGGATTGTTACCATGTACCTTGTTTTTTATAAGTCTCCGATATTTCGGCACTGTTGCAAGCGCCATGATCACGGAGTAACTGAAATAATTGCAGGTCGTCGTCTTTTACTGCGCTCGATACCCCTACCATTAGTCACAATTTCACTATTCACTCGCACCTGTTCCCGACACACAATACTCACAGTATCAGATCGCGGACCGACACTTTTTTTATTTTTGCGGTTTTTGCACATACGAACCACTGGATTCCAGACACTTGACAATTAAACCCATCCTCATGATTGTAATTTTGAGATCTTGTCTGTCACTCCTTTGATTTATGGCAAAAATACTGGTTGCCTGCCTACTTTGTGTGTCTGGTGCCTTAAATTGTGTTTGGGTGAAAACTAAAAAAACAAAACAAGGTACCATGTACCGGTACCATGTACAAGGTACCATGTACAAGGTACCATGTACCTTGTTTTTTATATACACATAAAAAACAAGGTACATGGTAAAAATCCCGTTAATAGCTATCAATGAAAGAGACCTAACTCAAAATTCCCGTAATTTCTTATCTAACTACAAATTAACCTTACAACCCTGAAGAGAATAAGAGAGACCAAACCAAATTTTTTACTTAGGTAATTCTCATTTAGTGTGTCCGATTTCGTCGTCTTCAATTATTGCATAATATAAATTGTATTATCCGTTCCCTCATCAAGGAGAGTGTACGTGAGAGGGAAACATTGCCTGTATACGCGATGCGTTCGGAGATCATGAATGCCATCAACGACAACCCGGTCATCATCATCAGGGGCAACACCGGCTGCGGGAAAACTACCCAGGTAAAATTTGCTTTTTCCTTTCCACATAAATTTAGCCAATGTGTCGTGTCGTTTAGGTCGCTTTTTCCTATTCAGCAGAAATTAAATTAATTTTTTGTAGATATGTTGATATTCAATAAAACGTCTTTATTATCATTTAGGTGTGCCAGTTTATCCTGGATGACTACATAGCGAGCGGTCAAGGCGCCTGGGCGAACATTTGCGTTACTCAACCGCGGCGTATCTCCGCCATCAGCGTCGCCGAGCGAGTTGCCGCCGAGAGATGCGAGGAGATCGGAAACAGCGTCGGGTATTATAATTCTCATTATACTGCTTATATAATAGTTTAGTGTCATAATAAGTGTGCCACTTTATCCTGGCCGACTAAATAGCTAGCGGGGTGGCCGCCGAGAGATGCGAGGAGATCGGAAACAGCGTCGGGTATTATAACACTCATTATACTGCTTATATAATAATCTAGTGCCATAATAAGTGTGCCACTTTATCCTGGTCGACTAAATAGCTAGCGCGGTGGCCACCGAGAGATGCGAGGAGATCGGAAACACTAGTGCCATATTAAGTGCGCCACTTTATCCTGGTCGACTATATAGCTAGCGGGGTGGCCGCTGAGAGATGCGAGGATATCGGAAACAGCGTCGGGTATTATAACATTAACTGTACTCCTTTTGTTTACCCCTACACCTACGTGACGAAGCTTCGGGTGGCTTTGGTACTAAAAAGAGCCTTAAAATTTTGCAGCCACTGCACACAGAAATTTATCGTTTTCCACAACCTCTTTTAGCGTGTCGAATTATAGCCACTAAAGCTATCATTTAGCTAGCGTCTATGACGCGCAGCCCGCTAATCAGAACTAGAAATAATTCGAATTTCGAACGCTAATTGTAGCGCACATAGAGTACCAGAGTTACCCGAAGCTATAACGCGCGGTCTGGGAGAAGCATTATATTCGCTGGGTGCGAAGTAGGTGGTGGAAGAATCACGAAACGATCGCAGCGCGCACCAACGCCGACAAAAGGAAGTTTCGGCAGATCAACTGTCACTTTTTATTTACAAAATGCACGTATCTGTTAATTTTAAGAAAATAAATTAACATGCATCATGAAACCTGCTCCGTACCTAGTTAATTGCAACAACAGTGGTCGCAATTTTCATACATTTCGTTTAGATGGAAATGAGAATAACGAAAGAAATGGATAATCAGTGTCAAAAGTAAAGTAACTTAAAATGTATCATTTTTAATATTATATTATTTTGTATTTTTTAGGAAGTAGCACGTTACAATGCACGTTTACATCTTTCACATGTTAAGTCAAAATTCTTTTTCTCGTTTTTTGAGAGTCCCACAGGAACAGTAACATTTTCCGGAATAAAAAGTACTATATTTCAATCCAGGTCATATATTATATGCTTACCAAATTTTATTCAAATCCGTTCAGTAGTGTTTGCGTAGTAGAGTAATAAACACACAAAATTTATTATTTATAATATTAGTGGGATACAAGTTTTTGATTATTTTAATAATATTAGACGGCGTATCATAATTATAGCTTACTGGCTTTCAAATGTAAAATTTGCAAATTAGTTCATAGAAATATTATGTATGCATGTGTATCTAGTGATATTGTTTTATAAAATTTCCACATTAACACCTTTCATAATCAGTTTCCTCTTTAATTTTTGTTTGATAAATATAGTTCCATATTTATCGACGATTAAAAAGGAAATTGATAAATATGGAAATATATGAACTATTTTGTTACAGATATTCAGTACGATTCGAGTCCGTACTACCTAGGCCGTACGGTTCGATAATGTTTTGTACTGTTGGTGTGCTTCTAAGGAAACTAGAAGGTGGGCTAAGAGGCGTTAGCCACGTACTAGTGGATGAGGTAATTTTTATTTCCTATTATTAGGAATAACTTAGAAAGTAATTTTATTAAATTATGCTTAAATATTTTTGCAAAACCAAATTCAGTTGCAAAAGAACTAATACTAGAAAAATCATTAGTCTAGGGCGTCGTATTCAAAATATTTATTTATAATATAATATTTATAATCCAATGCGATGTCAACCCGATTTTAAAAGAAATGAGATTAGCTGTTACAAAACCTGAGCCTCGACTTGAGAAAATTTGCTCAGATAAGCAAATAAAACTATGACATTAATAGGCTACCCAAAAAACATTTTTTTAACATTGCTGGAACTGTAAACTTAATCAAAGAATTGTTTATTTTGTTCATATAATTAATAATTATTTTAATCCAGTTTATACACAGTTAAGGTCCAAATTAGTCCATCAGTATAAATAATGTCTGTAGGTTCATTTCGCTTATGAACCCACTGCAAAAAAAAATAGATGTTCTCAAATGTTTGTTACATGAAATCTACACGCATTTTTATTTATTTATACTTTATTGCACAAATGAGTATACAAGTGGCGGACGTAATGCCATTAGGCAGTCTCTACCAGTCAACCGAAGAACTATAGCAAAATTCTTAACAAAGGAATGCAAAAAGAATTCATCAAATTTTCTTGTTTTTTTTCTCAAGGTACACGAACGCGACGCAGACACCGACTTCGGTCTGATCTTGCTGCGAGACATGGCGCATACTTATCCCGACCTGCGCATCATCCTGATGAGCGCCACTGTAGACACCACGCTGTTCAGTAAATACTTTGGCGACTGCCCCGTTATCGAGGTGAGTCCATCTTCATATATTATGTACTAGCGGCCGCCTGCGACTTCGTACGCGTGGAGTTAGTTAGAAATAAAGGTTCACTGCTCGTTCCCCGTAGCTGATAGCGTGATAATATGTAGCCTATATGTTAACCCGACTTCTTAATAATATTCGTGCCAAATTAGAAGCATATCAGTACTCAATGCAGTACTTCTTGAGTTTATTCCGGACATACATACATACAGACAAAAATTCTAAAAACTATATTTTTGTCTTCGGTATCGATTGTAGATCACACCCCAAGTATTCTTTTAAAAAAATATTCAATATACAGTTTTGACTTTCCTACCATTTTATTATATGTATAGATACTTGATTCAACTTCCTCTGAGACAAATGGGTAACAAACCTTAAAAAGGTTTTCAATACGTCGAATTTTATACGCATAAAAATATGATTAAAAAGTGGTACAAAAACACTTAAAACTGTAGTCTATTCTCACAATTGGAACGCATTTATAAACCTACCAAATTGAAGGGTTAATGATAAAAGTAATATTATATAAGTTAATGTAGTATTTTTACTAGATCGGAAGTGTCATCATCATAAGCCTAATAATGGCGGAAGGCCTGTTCCCTATGGATGGAATAGGGAGATTGGGCCATGACCCACCACGAGGGCCCAGTGCGGATTGGTGGGTGCTTACAGCTCCAGATGCAGCCGAGACCAACGTCTCAATGTGCCTTCTGAAGCACGGAGAAGTTCTAGATAATAAGTTTTTAGTAACCCATCCAATGCCCGACCATTGCGAAAGTTGCTTGACTTCCACGATCACAAGCCGAACGCGCTATTCATCTAGGCCATCGAGCTCCTGGGGTACCTTATATATTATGTACTTCATATTATAAGGTAAAAAGCGCGCTGCTAGTGATATTCTGAAGCGACAAACATAGTCACGACTAAAGTGCGGCCAGCAAAAGAAAGCGATTGGACAGTTATTGTCAGTTCCTTATGGCGGCATAATTTGAGTTTATTTTCGTACCTATTTTTACTAAATCGGAAGTGTACTCTTATCTAAAAACATTAGCTGACATTCTATAGATGTACACATTTCTCAATCCACTATGTACTTATGATAGAACATTTTAAAGTAAGAGTTTTTGATGGCCTGATGTAACATCATCTTTGACTTGAGTATACTGTCAAATTAACTCATTTTATAATTATGATCAAATTAAAAATTTACAGATTTGCCTTTTTTAATTAACAAATTTTAATTGATTGAATATATAGTAATCATAGTTGTTAGTAGTTATCCAAAACTACAAAGGTTCTCCAACTGACTGAACTTTATTTTGCTCTACATTAAATTCACTATAGATTGAAAAAATGTTGGCACTAACTTAACGTTTTTTAAGGGTTTGGTTCAATCTTTTTCACTCTAACCTACTGAGTATATCCAGTTTAGTATGCAATATAATTTCCCCTAGGTTCCCGGTCGTACGTATCCAGTGAGACAATACTTCCTCGAAGATTGCATCGAGCTGACTCAGTTCAGACCTCCCCCAGACAACAGGAAAAGGAAATCCTCCGGAAAGAAGGTGTCCAATAATGACGAAGAAGACGACGATGAAGGTATTTATAAATTTCCTCCGACCACAGAACATCCCCAGAAATAGCACATTACTGCAGCTGCCAGCAAAAGAGACATTGTTGGACGAACGTGTAAATAAGTCCTACGTAAGTAAACCAATGCCTAATTGTGGCCAAGGCTTTTATAGTGCTTTTCTTGAATATTGCGCGGCAATTAAAACAAAGTAATTAGTACTTAAGCAGTACCCTTAGCACGAAGCAATATCGAATTCGTATCGTTTGCGAGTACGAAATGTCATTGTCAAATGTTTACTGATTTTTAATTCTCATTACGTACGTTTTGGCGCTGCTGTTCAAGTTTTCATACAAAATTTGACAATGACATTTCGGACTTGTATTCTATTCGAATTCGATAATGGTTCGTGCTAAGGGTACTGAACTTGTTCTTTGAAATAGTATATACCCGCGTTAAATTGTTCATTTGTTTCCGGTAGCTGCTTTCTATTTGCAAGGCAGCTTGAAATTTAAAATACCTTAGATAAGTTACCTCTTTAGTTGCCATGTTTCAGAGTAAAGGATCAGAGAAAGATACTATGTAATTTATTTGACCGCTAAACTATAACTGATATGTATTTTCATACAACTTTTGCCTGCCGTTGCTCATCTGTATTTAGCCAGTACTGCAATTTCTATTCATGTCAAAATAATGTTAAATTTTCCAAGCAAATTTGAGAAAAGATCGATTACAAGGCCACCCGCTTGTGCTAAGTTTATGCAGTAATACTGCATCACCGTATTACACGCTCCCAAACATCACGATAAAAGTTTGCACCTAATTTGTCATCCGAACGTGACGTCACGCGAACGTGTGACCATTATATATATATATATATATACTAGCGGCCCGCCCTCGCTTCGCTTCGGTGTAGAGCTGAAGTGTAGACTACAGTTTTTGTTCTCAGGCTTGTATTATACACAATGACATTCATCTATGTTTCTTCTTATACCTGCATGCAAAGTCTCAGCCCGATCGGTTTAAAATTGACAAACTTTCATTCCCTATTTTATTCCCTTGGGGGTAGAATTCCTACGTCATAACATCTACCTGCATGCCTGCAATTTCAGCCCGATCCGTCCAGTGGTTTGGGCTGTGCGTTGATAGATCACTATGTCAGTCAGTCACCTTTGAGTTTTATATCTATAGATATTATATGGTCAATAAGGTCAATAAGTTTAATATAAATGAAACAACAGGTGTTGCAGTAGATGAACAAGATGAAGATTTGAACAAGAACTGCAAACTGGGGGAGGACTATTCGCCGGAAACCATGAATTCCTTACAACAATTGTCCGAGAAAGATGTTCGTATGGCGCTTTTTATTTTTTTACTGTATAATAATAAACAAAAGTTTTATTAAACTATTTTCAAGAAGAGTCTTTCTATTATGACTAAAGCAAAGAAAGTGACAGAAATAATTTAAATCTAACGTAAAAGTTAATTGACGTCTGATTACGGCTGTCAGCAAATACAATGTCCTGTTCTATATATAAATTAGCATGTTTTCATTCCCAACAGCTGAGCTTTGAGCTCATAGAAGCAATCTTGATCTACATAAGCAAGTTGAAAAACGACGGTGCGGTGTTAGTGTTTTTACCTGGTTGGAACTTGATATTCGCCCTCATGAAGCACTTAACACAAAACAGAGTGTTTGGTGACCAATCGCAATATGTGATCTTGCCGTTGCACAGCCAGATCCCGAGGGAAGACCAGAAGAAAGTGTTCGTGACGCCTCCACCTGGAATCACTAAGGTTTGTTTAGTAGAAATTTCGAAATATGGTTGTAAATCGCTTGCATTCATTATGTTCGTACGTAGTTTGTAGAATATGTTGGTCTTGCTTTGGTTGCGTTCACACGATTATTGTCCGTAAGCAGTATAGTATGAAATCCTTGGCCATGGAATGTATGTAGAAAGAAATACATAAGTTTGTTTAAACTTCATGTTAAAGAAGACATGCATTTTTATTTTATTTTATGCGTTAGTCTGAATATATATATATATATATATATATATATAGTTTATTGACAGTGTCTATTTTATTTGTATTACTTTGATGTTGTTTATTTATTCATTTATATTCAGGTAAGGTAAGCTCATAGACGCAAAGTGTTATGCTGCATGTATTGCATCAGTTCTGAATAGTGTAATTTCAATTAAGTTGTCCTAGAAATAAATAAGAAGCCAATCCAGTTTCGCAGTAGGAATTTTAACCATATTGCATTTTGCTTTGGAACCCAATGAACAATGGAATAGTACATTGTTCACCGAGAGGAGAAAGTGACCGATTACCAACGAGTGTGTAATATGAGGCCTAAAGCGCAGCCAAGGGCCTTAAACACCCGAGTTTCTTTTAATTTTGGCAGTGTCAATAAATCCTCATTATCAGTAATATACGCCGTCACAAGTAGATACGAAAACAGATTAAAAACTCAAGTTAAATAAAATAATCAGAATGCATTTTACTTTTTATTCTTTTCATTAAATTAATGTTCAGAAAGCAAATTAAAATAGAAAAAGAAAAGTGCAAAATCATACTGAACACTTGTTTTTCTGAACATATAAATATCAAAAAAAAAACGCGTGACCAATGAATTTCCATAGACTTTTCTGCCCGCTTAGTGGTACAGCAGTAATGAGGTCCTTTCTGCTCATGTTTAAAACAAGAATATATATTTCCGAGTAGGTAGTAGTATAAATGTTTTCTTCTCCCTAAAAACTGTTCATCTCCTTATTTCCCGTACAGGTGATATTGTCGACCAACATCGCTGAAACGTCGATCACTATCAACGACGTTGTGTACGTGATTGACTCGTGCAAGGCCAAAATGAAACTATTCACTTCGCACAACAACATGACGTCATACGCCACCGTCTGGGCCAGCAGGACTAATCTGGAGCAGGTGCGTTTTAACAAGGAGAGGAAATTTTATGCAGTGCTTAAGAGTTCCGTGACTTAAGATTAAAGCTGAGGTCCAAACACGTATTTATGATAGCTCCGTAACGTATCGTCATTGTCTTAATTAGTTTTGTTGTGACGTAAGCGATCGTGTGATAAAGCGCACCACCAACTTGATACCGGGGCGTGAACAGAGCATCGTTACTCAGACAAATGACAGAAAAGTCTGTAGGTATGAGTTAATATTCGTGAACAGGGTTTACATATTTGATGTTTCTACTAGGGTTATATTAGAGAACGGATAATCGGATGCGTATTTACTTAAAGCTGAGATGTTGGCCTGGAAATTAAAACTAAGTGTAATTGACACAAATGACAGCTGCTCTCTGTTATTATAAAAATATTGTGTAAGATGTCCTTAATGAATAAATAAATTTATATTCATTTATGTTTTTTTATTAACCACACCACCATTCCTCTAACATCTTACATACACACATTCTCGACTGGGCAATTAAAATTTAACTTTAAGTAAATATACGTCTGATTAGTTATGCGATCCCGGAGCCCTGGGATTTTATATTGAACTAGCGGCCGCCCGCGACTTCGTACGCGTGGAGTTAGTTAGAAATAAAGGTTCACTGCTCGTTTCGCGTAGGTGATAGCGTGATAATGTATAGCTTATATGTTGACCCGACTTCCTAATAATATTCGTGCCATATTTGAAGTAAATCCATGCAGTACTTTTTGAGTTTATCCCGGAAATACATACAGACAAACAGGCAATCACACCCAGTGGCGTACCGTAGTGGGGGCGACAGGGGCGGCCCACCCCAGGCGGCAAAGTTTTACTATAAATATTAAAAATATTTCAACCATTTAAATAAGAGGACGGCAAAATTGTCCTTCGCCCCGGGCGGCCGACACCCACGCTACGCCGATGATCACACCCCAAGTATTCTTTTAAAAAAATATTCAATGAACAGTTTTTTTTTACAGTTACAGTTTCTTTCCTACCATTTTATTATATGTATAGATAAAAATATCCTAAGAACCCGCCTCCATAATTTGATAGCAAATATAATTTCAGGTAAATATGCATCCGATTATCCGATTTCTTGTTATGATTATGCTTTAATTACATTTATTTTTACAGAGGAAAGGTCGTGCTGGTCGCGTGCGGCCTGGCGTTTGTTTCACGTTGTGCACTAGGGCGAGGTTCGACCGGCTAGAGGAACACCAAACCGCAGAGATGTTTAGAACGCCGCTGCACGAATTAGCGCTCAGGTGAGAAACGGGAATTATTATTAGTGATTTTACAGGTACAGAAGGACAGATGATGCCACCTATGGAGAAAATACTAAGAGGAGTTGTTGTATAGCAAACCCATACCGCCTGATTACAATGCGTAAACCAAAGTTAAATCTGGACTAAAATGGTTGCTGTCAATTTTGTTTGCTTAAAAGAAGACGGAGACTACCGACATATTTAAACGAAAAATAACTTTAGTCCGCGTTTTGGGATAAGGCGAATATACAAGGGGAGGTCAATAAGTTCGCTTAATGGAGGGGTTGGTGGGGGTAGGTTTACTCATCCAGGTAGGCACTAGTTGAGCACCTCATTAAGAGTATATATACCAAGTTTGAACCTAATCGGGTCATTACTTTTGAATTATCGAACTACGAACAACTGAATCGGGAAGAAGTCAGCCAGTATGGAGAAAATTGAACACCGCGCCGTTATTAAGTTCCTTACCAAGCAAGGAAAATCCGCTCAGATTATTTTTCAAGAGCTGCTGGTGGTTTACGCGGACTCTGCCCCTGGTAAAACCATGGTTTACAAGTGGCATGGTCTTTTCAAACAAGGAAGAGAGTCCATTGAAGACGACCCCCGCTCCGGACGGCCAATTGAGGCCACCACACCGGAAATCGTCGAAAAAGTAGAAAAACTTGTATTGGAAGATGTCCGGTTGAAGAAGAAGCAGCTTGCAGCAGTGATTGGAGTATGCGAAACAAGTATTTTGAATATTCTACATCATCATCTTGGGATGACTAAGGTCAGTGCAAGATGGGGTCAGAGAATGCTTACGCCACTTCAAAAACGCGAGCGTGTCGAGTGTTCTCGCCAGTTTTTGGAGCTCTGTGGAGAGAGAAAGGAAGAAGTTATGGCCCGAATCGTTACTGGTGATGAAACCCGGGTTCACCACTATGAACCCGAGTCAAAGCAAGAGTCGATGCAGTGGCATAAAAAAGGCACACCTCCTCCAAAGAAGTCTAAAGTGACACAATCGGCTGGCAAGATCATGGCGACTGTCTTTTGGGATACAGAAGGTATTTTACTGATCGATTATAAAGAACGGGGTGTGCCTATACCCACAGAACACAGAAAGAGGTTAGAAGGGTGATAAGCGATCGCCAGTATGAGAACCGATGTCGCCGGCTTGTCCTCACTACACTTCCACCTAATAGATAACAAGCCAATCAAACGACGCGACATCAAGCAACCGAACGAATCAGCGCTCACAGCCGTGACCGTGAGCGTCCATTCATTCACCCCGATTTTAGCGTTTGTGGTTGACACTGAGTCGATGAAATATTATCGATATTAAATATGCCAAGTACGAGTTGGACTTGACTTGATTGTATGGAATTTTATGTATCCTGTCAAAGTCACTAAAGATAAAGACAATGGTTTAATGTAAAACGCATTACTACAGATAGTTATTTATTGACCTTGAAACAATATATATTTATGAAAAAGGTGACCCTTTTTTCTTTTTACCCGGCTGCGCAATGCAAGAGTGCGAAGCGCGACGCGCAGACAGGGTTATGTGTTTAACAGTCTATATATGTATGTTTGTTCCTTTGTGGCACACTAGAGACCAAACGCCTGGACCGATTTTGATGATTCATACATCAATCGATTCGTCTCAATCATGGGAGTGCTACTAAAGATATGATAGTAATCAAAATTCAATATGGGCAAAATTAGGTGCCATATTGGTACGAAGTAAAAAAAATAAGTTTCCAAAATATTTCGAGTGAGGTATCACTGTCTAAATAATCAAAAATCATATTTAGGTTTCTAACACCATTTTTCATTTTATATGATTGTTTAGGATCTACAACGCTTTAAAGTTGTATATTAACCACTTACGCTTTTAATTTCAATCTTACGTTTGTATGGATCTTTGTTACTCTTTCACCTAAAAAATACTGAATGGATTTTAATGAAACTTAACAGTAATATAGCTCATATATGATAATTACATATATAAAATAATTTATGTAGTTATTAAGTGAATTGCCAATATATAACAATAAGTGTCACATAAGACGGAAAAAAAATCTCCCATCTGCGAGCCATTTTGGCATGCACTGCAAAAACAATAAAAGTTACATGAATGTAATGTAGAGTGAAAATGTATCTCTTAAATAGTTCTAAAAAAAGCCCGTGACACCATGTATCTATTTTTAATGTGTAAGTCATTACCGCTAAAATAGTGAATCAAAACTAAAATATTATTTGATATCTATTTTCTAAATGCACATTTTGTCTTAACAAATCATTTTCTATCAAAACAAATACTTTTATCGCTTTTGATATTTAAAGACAATAAACTTTGCTTTTTACACTATGTCATTTCGACAAATATTTAAAAAGTTACAACGATGACAAAGTGATAGCGCGGTGTACTAAGTAAAAAAAGAAAAAAAAAAATGGGCTATTCGCAGTATCTGATCCTATACGAAGTACTAACAATAAAACTGTGATACAGTTCCTTCTTATTAAATGATGAACAATATATTATCATAATAGGTATTTATGATTATTGAATTTCAATGAAAAACTCAGAATGTTCGCGCTTGAACTACGCGCGGGAAATACGCGAACCGCCGAACACTACCGAATGATCACGACGGCGGCCGACGGGCGTTGTCGGCAACAATCGTTTTTTTATTATAACGGCTTGAGAGAAGACAAGACGCAAAAAATTGTACTCGCTTCCTTTGATTGCATACACATTATACTTATTAATATTAGCAAATCTGTAATTATCTTTATTGAAGATTAAATGCCTGTAAACGAATCAAGATTGGGATTATTATTTCCTGGAGTTAACAGGAAAAGTGGTGCCGTGACCAGGATTTAGACTGGAAGGAAGATTGCTGGTCTGGGATAGAAATTGGTGAGCCCGTTCCTATTCCTTTCTTTTAGATCCATCCCCTAGTTCTTTTGGACGAGTAACGTCGAATAAGTGTTATTGTGCATAGTAGATAATAAAAATAAGAGTATAAAGGTAGAAAAGGCAGTAATTTGCAAACGCGTATAATAGTTACCTACCTTCGCAAAGTAAAAAAAAAAAATATAAGTACTTAGTTTTTTGAAATTTGCATAAAGGTTTATCATTTTCTTTCAGGTTAAGTATATTTTTTGTAGTTGTTGTATATAAATATTGTAAATTCCAGGTCAAACTTTAAACAACTGCACCGGCCTTTCACCGATTATTGGATGTACCAAGCATATAATTTGATGCATCATTGGAAAGAATAAACAAATTAAGAGCTATTTTATAACATATCACACCTGGTGAGTGGTGAGAGGATCCTTCGGAGAAGCAGTTCGAGGTATTTACTTAGTTTTTAGTATTGTATAATTTATTTCCTCTGATTTCTTATTTCCCACATCATTATGGCAGAAGCTCTTGATAAGCTCGTCAAAAGGCGCAGTTGTCTAAAAGGTCAATTAACAATATTTAAGAATTATTTAGAAATTATTCGGCAAATTGATATAAATAAATTAACTACGCAGCAACTTTCAGAATTAAAATTAAGACTAAATAAATTAGAAAATAGTTTATCCGCCTTTGATAATCTACAAACCGAAATAGAAATATTAAGTGACAATTCTTCTGATCAACTCAATGAGAGGGAGTCCATGGAAAATGATTTTTTTTCTTTAATGTCTAGTTCCCAATCTATCATAGAGGAAGCGAGTATCATTGCAAATAGGAGGCAAAGTTTATCAGACACAGTTGTCAATCAATCAAATAATACAGGCAATGTTCTAGTAAATAATAATATATCTCTTCCTACCATCAAGTTGCCCATGTTTGATGGATGTTATAGTAAGTGGTTGGAATATAGAGATACTTACCTTTCGTTAATTCATAGCAATGACAGTATAAATACCATAAATAAATTTCATTATTTGAGGTCCTCATTGGAGGGTAGTGCTGCATTGGTGATTAAATCAATTGAATTTTGTTCTGATAACTATATGGCTGCATGGTGCCTTCTATGCGACAGGTACAACAACAAAAGGTTGTTAATTAATAATCATTTAAAGGCACTTTTTGGTATAGAAAATATGATAAGGGAGTCTGACACCTCTCTTCGTTACATTATGGACCATGTGACAAAAAATTTAAATGCTTTAAAAAACTTAGGTCAACCAGTTGAACACTGGGATTCACTCATTGTTTATTTAATTGTAATGAAATTAGACAATTACACTAGTAGAAAATGGGAAGAACATAAAGGGTCTCTCAGTGATATTCCAACATTAGAGGAATTCTTTTGTTTTTTAAGGAATAGAGCAGATTTCTTAGAAACTGTAAAGTATAACAAATGTTTTAATAAGAATGATAGGGTATCAACATTTGTAACATCTGGCCAAGCGTCAAATAGTAACAACTATAAATTGAGCTGTATAGTATGCAAGCAAATGCATCGTTTGTATGAATGTCCTAAGTTCATTTCCATGACCTTGGAGGAACGTAATAATTTAGTATCGAAAAATAAATTATGTGTAAATTGTTTGAGCGTTGGACATTACGCAAAAAATTGCCGTAACAGTCCGTGTAAAACCTGTAGATATAAGCATCATACCTTATTGCATAGGTCTAAGGTACAAAATAGCAGTGTCGTAAATAATAATTCACAGTCATTCGTATCACAAGTGCATAGCGATCATCTGTGCGCGGCCGCTTCAGAACCGGTTTCGTTATCTACGACTGAAGCGGCGGTGGCAATCCCCGCACAGCATGTTCTTTTGTCTACGGCGCTCGTTCAAGTAGTAAATATTATTACAAAGGAAGTATTTGTAGTGCGCGCCTTACTGGATAGCGGGAGTCAAATAAGCATGATAACCGAAAATTTACGCGCCAAGTTGGGATTATATAGTGTAAAAAACGAGCAGCCTATGACGGTATCAGGCATAGGAAATATTAAGTTAAGTATATCGGATAGATGTAAATTAGTAATGCGATCGATGAAAGGTAATTT